TTACTTACAAAAGAGAATAAGAAAAAAAGAAAATGTAATAACCGTGAAGAATTTGAAGTTAACGTTTTAAAATTAGTATTAACGTAAGTTCATTTGATTTTACTCGTGTTTTGACTATACTATTTGACTCCTGAGATATTATAAAAAAGGTATGTAGGTTTTGTCAAAATTTCCTCATTTATATGTTATATCTTCCATGAAGAGCCGGACATTATTATAAGGTTTAGTCAACTAATCTAGTGGATTAATAGAGTAAATTCTAAAAATATCGATTAATATAGCGATTACGGCGCTCTAGAAGTATGCGCACCAAGATGTCGCACAACCTGAATCTCAACCAATACGCATATACTATGTTCAGGTTGTGCGCCATCTTGGTGCGCATACTTCTGGAGGTCCGCGATTACACTGAATTGAGACTTTGAGATTTAGAAGCATTTTTGCAATTTAAAACAGCTCTATTTTAAATATTGAAGAAATCGTTTCAATGACGTGTTCGAGCGTAATAAGTTTGCATACAACAGCCTGTCACAGGTAAGGGCCTAGTGGGGTTCGAAAGAGCCGGGAAATTTTGTCTTCTCCGAGAGTTCCGAACCCCCAAGGTATGAGAGGACTTGAAATCGATGTTTCAGTCAGGAGATGCAAATACAGTTGTCTATCTTTTGCTGACAAACAGAATATGTATGAATGCTTATTTAAAAATAGAAATTAATATTGCGTCATAGGCATTCATTTTTATATTTTGGTCTCACACGTGTCATGATTGAGTGGAAAATCGATTAAATATTAATCTTCTATGATCTATGACACATATTTTCTTCTATATATAACACTTCACGAATGGTCTTGTTTGATTCTGCGAAAAAATTATGAAACTTACTTAAAATATTAAAAAATATATTTTTATTTTAACTCTGATGTAATATGTCCATATATTCAGATATGTAGAACAATAGAAAAGATTAACGTCTGTTAAGGTTGTTAATATTAATATTAAAATAAAAACGCTTTTCAACTTTTGCCGATTGTTAGTTACAATGTTAGAAGTATGTTGCAATGCCCCAAGATCCCACCTTATTACAATATTGATGAAGTAATAGGTTTGTGAATATTCCACTATGAATTATTACAATATTAATCAAACGAAATTTAATACTTTTTAATTTTTTCGCGGAATTTATATCAAACTTGAGCTATTGAAATCGTTAGCGGTTGCGATTTTTTGTTTTGTTTAATTTATTGTATTTTATTTCGTTCTTATTGTGTCCTTGCATTAAATGAGATTTTCATTGCAATCACAATAAATTCTTGTGACTTGATAAATGACGCTAGACGAGATACTACTGCTTTTAATGTTGTTTTTATTGTCAAGTTTATGCCACGTCGGACTGATTGATGATGTCATTGGGTTACGTTATTGAATTAATTCACTGGGACTGAAACTTGGGTGTCGCTGCTCGATAACCAGTTTTGGTTCCTCGCGGCTTTCCAACCACAGCAATGTAAATATCAATTTTCCCTTATATTTTTTGCATGTTTTTTGTCGTTTACTGGTTAGAAAAAATAAACTTGACTTGACTTGACTATTCATGCTTGATAGGTAAATCAGTCATCACCTTGAATTCGTATAAATGTTTTGAATGTCACCCAATCAGTGTTTTAGTGAAGTTGGTATTTCAATGGTATTTTCAAGAGTAATTTGTTTTGATACGAAATGGCTATTTTCATTTCTGTTGAGCTTGAATTGTTTGCACTGGTTTGGGTATTAGCCGTTTTATTGATAATGCACATTCAAATCGAATCTAGCCTCATCGGCCTATTTGATACTTAGTCTATTTTGTTCTACCATGTCCTGTATTATGTTTCGAATTTCAGTCAATGACATCAACGTATCATTACACAACCCGATGTGGATTTTGGTATACATATAATGTTGTCAGAAGCGTCGAATTTCATTTTTTTTCGTGTTGCGCTATGTGTGATTTGGAAATATGTTACCAATAATTATTGTTGAATGATAGAAATAAAATTAGCCTATCAAATATTTTCAATGGTGGTAGATGAGCTTCGAATTACAAAGGAATTAGAGTTCATGTTACCCTGTTTGCGCAATAATTTTAAACGACATGAGTTTTACGAATAGGTCTCATATATATTTATAGCATGTTTATGGTGCATATTAAAGTGTTTTCTTCTGTCGTTGCTGTAAAAGGCAGAGTAACAGCGTTTAGTTCATACTTCATACTCGCCTTTGCCCTACATCGCCAGGTCTCTTCCATGACTTTTCACCTCATTTTCATCTCAGCGCCGTTGTCAAGGGTTGTGGTTGGTAGATGAATGAGACTGTACTATATAAGAATGCATTCTGTTGTCAGTGTTCTCTCGAATCGATTGACTTTTTTCGTAAAAATATTTCTCGAAATTTGTCTCACAATAAGACATATGCGACCAAAGTTCTGTCGGGTAAGAACCAGTGAAAGTACTGATAAATCAAGCATATCTGAGCTAACAGAGCAAAGAAGGGGGAAACGACTGAACTTTCGCCGTTTCTGACAATATTTAGCAATACTCAAATATGCGGCAAATAGCACTGCAAGTTGGAGCGTAGCTACGCCTTATCACACGTGTTCGCGTGATTAGAAGGGGTAATTATGGTATACGTTGCACGAGAAAAAATTGCGCGAGAATGTAGTGAATGTATGAGGTGATGTTTAAGATGCTGTCAGTCGCAGTCTACTTCATTCATTTCGTTCAAACCGACGGTGCTTGTTATCATAAGGTTGTACTCATACGTTGCCTGAAGAATTTTACATGAGCCAGAGAGAATGTGAACATCCATATGGCAAGTTTGTAAGTTATACCTGCTTATAGCAGTTGTTGGGGATAATTCAGTGGTGGTGACGTTATTACAATCATGATGCTCGCCTTCGCCTAAAGTTTATTCTCTGATTTATTGGTTTAATTCATATGCAAATTCAAGAGTCTATTACACGCTTTTTCGTCCGTTGTCAGATAATCTTCTACAATATTTTATTGACCAGTGACTAAATTCACTTTAATGTGACCAACACGGCGTCATCTGACTACATTAAAATATAGGTGTGTAATTAATAATATGTATGGCTGGTTATGAGGTAGATATTAGTTTTTTTATTGCTGCAGCAAAGATCAAATAAAGACACTTCCCTGTAATTAAATGATACGTATAGATATATTCATCGCTTTTCTTTTCTATAATTGAACAATCTGATCATGTGTTATATATACCCGAGCATTAATACAGGTGGAGATCTCGCGAAGTATTTATGAAGGTATTTGCGTATTTACAAAGTCATCAGTCTGACTGGGAAAGCAGATGCTAATGGTGTATTGAGCTATGGAGTCGAATAAGAAGGTTATATAGTATGGACGGGTATACAGAGTTTTCACCACACGGACTTCCCCGTCCAAGATTTGGTTTCACACTCCCTTGGGAGTTGTTTAGAAATAATAATATATAAATAGATGTGGATTTATAGAATATCTGGGCATACTTAAGGTTCCTGTGTTATCGTGTTGGGACTGTGTCGTGAAAAAATCGTGGCGTTTTTATATATTATTCACTATTATTTTCGACAACTCCCAAGGCAACTAATAACCAAAGTTATAAATCCAATCGCCGAAACGTCGGTAAAACATACGGTGGGCGTAATTTAGCGATTGAAGCAATCTAATAACTAAAAAAAGCACAAAGTCCTGCTCCTGACCCCTAGATTTATTACAGCGCAACTTCCGGCATCGTCACCTCATGATATCTAGTTATGTCATAATCCTGGTGCGTACCCAGGAATTTAAAAAAGTGGAAATTTCGAATTGCCAAGTTAGAACGCAACAGCTAGAGGGTCTGGCCGGAGGCCGGAAAACGTTGTTATATCCTCGAGTAAATTGGCACAATCAGATATAATCTTGTGACGACCCGCTACTCGTAAGTGTTCCATTGAAGTCATTTGGCTTTATCGCACGATGAACTCTCGGTATTTAAGTTGACCTTCACTATGTTTGAGTAACGAATGACTGCACATGCAATGGGATTGGCGATATATGCCGTGCAAAGGTCCTACGCTCTGTTATTCAAAACACAGAATTAGTATTTTTATAACCATCGATATCGTGCGGCGTTGTCTCATTTTTCACGACCACGACTCACCTAGACCGAATCGGATAATCATTTAGATTTTTAAAGGAGGCTTAACTGAAATTCCGTCTCGACTCGATTTCGCAATACACGTTATGTAACATAATTTTATTTTTTTATGTTACCCAATTCTGTAAATACGTTTCAATAAATATCGACTTTTCTCAGATAAGAGGAGGGATGACATCGATCGATATACGATCCCGTTCTCAGATAAGAAGAGGGATGGTAATTATAGAAGTGCAAATCGATTCGAATCATCCTCACTTTATTTTGATATATATCAGAAAGGGCATTAGGTTGGTTTTCAAAGGACAATTTCAAGACGAAGTCGATCATTTAGCAAGTGGTATTGTTTGAACTATTCTGAATTATCTCATTCCTGATAGATGGGGCATTATATTCATCCATTTACTGTTTTCCCTATTTCTGACATTTTGCATTGTATAATAATCTAGTATCTTTTTGAATCAAATTTCAATTAACAAAAAAATATGTTATGCTAAGCAGAATAAGATTCGGTGAGATTCAAATCGGAACATTTTGATTCGTAATTCAATCCGAAAATTTCCATTTGTTCCAATCATAGAATTTGGAGCAAATTTACAATGGAACTTACCACGAGAGCAAAATTTGAAAAAGCTATAATTATGTTAATAAATTCAAAGTAAATGTCGAGCCACATTGTAAAGGTTCCTACCCTTTTTCGATCACCTTCCTTTTAGTATTTCACCCAATTTATAAAGATGATTATTTATTTATGGAGTTAGTATTAAAATATAGAAGTATAATTATTCATTTTTATTTAATCTATCTTAAATTACAGTGATGATAACTAACGATCATTAGTTTTGCCGTAAAAAGCGGCAGAATACGCCGCAATGTTATCCTATATCATCGGAACCATGATCGCCATGGCGGCGCTGTGGAGTTCAATGAAACTGTTCTTTCCTTGGCTCGCATATGACATGGCCTTCTTTTTCGGTTTTGGATCAAGAGCAATATCAACTCTTAAAGCTTATGCAAAGATGGATCCAGTGTTTACATTGACCAGCAGGTTTGTGATATAACGTAACAGCAGATTTAGATTATAATTGTCCAATCGTACTGTATTGTCACTTATTTAGACCATTGGCAAAAAAATCTTCAGTCAAGTATTTCACAGCTGTTACTTAACCAGGCCGTGTATATTTGATATTACTTTCATCTTTGCACAGTTTATACTAATTTTCCCCGGCCGATTTTTTGAGCATTAGCAAATACAAAAATAATACAAAATCCTGCAGTGTGCGGGCATTCAATAAAACTTACCACCAACGAAGAACGGATTAATCTGTAAGCGTTATTACCATCCAATAAAAGCCTAAAATTACTATCACATTCGCATGTTTAAAATGCCGCTTCAGGACATAAATATACTACTACCAAGGCTGGATTGAGACGATATGAAGCCATTAAGCTATGCCTCAAACTTAATAGAAAACTTAAGGCTGCAATAAAACGTCATGGCACAGAAAACTCGACGTCATGCGAGCCGTTTCTAGCGCGTGAAGAGCATAACCCAATTATACTGGCAAACAAAATTATCATTCTTTTTTAAATGAACGGGCTTACGATGAGAACGATCTAAAAATAGTAAAAAATATAGTTCTTAGATTCGATGTTTCTTAGCTAAATCAGTATAGACATTTTGAGCAAGAATTATTAACCTGATTAAAAAAAGTAAGATAAATATCAGATTTATCAACTTTTAAGCTGATCATATTCCGGAACAAATCCCTAAAATATATTAGTTTAAAAATGAATGTCGAGGTTTGAGACACCTAGGCTTCAGCCATCTTGCCTAATGGTAAATACGATCATACATACACTCGTATGAAACGATTTTCCTCGAAAATGTGTTTCAATCTGGAAGTAACAAAAGCCTAAGTTGAAAAATCAGTTTCAACGTTTGGGGCATGAATGTAGGAAGTATATGTATATATATGTAAGGTATTTTTTGCATCAATTTTTCAGGCTAATAGAGCGTGCAATTGAACAGGAAGAAAAGCCATTTATAATGTATGAAGACAAAAATTACTCGCACAAAGATATTGATGATAGATCAAATCAAATTGCCAGAGCTCTGCGTTCAGCCGGCGTTAAAGCTAACGAAACGGTAAGCTACCCTCTCCCATTCATTTATAATATTTTCTATATGTTATTTTGGTTAGACTAGATCAGGTTCCGCGGTGTTCTCGGTTTCGGCCAGTACAGTTTACGGGTTCCGCGTGTTTCCATTCAATTCCGAGGCTCCGAATAATATATGTTCAGTTTTTTGTTTAAATATATTCAACTACTTGATTAAACTGCTACACATTGAAAATCATTTTGTTTTGCCAGTATCAGTTTTGATATCATATATATATTTATAGCTTATATCATTCAACTATTGCACACTGGTTACTCGGTCCTTTGGATAGTTCAATTGGTGTTACCGCTCCAGCAAAATGGTTGAAACCACTGGAATGGAGTGCCATATTACAATTTATCATTTTAGATCGGTATAATGATGACCAACAGCCCTACTCTGGTATCTGTCTGGTTTGGAATCAACAAAGCAGGTGCAGTACCTGCATTCATCAATTATAATCTACGTTCCTCTACATTACTCCACTGTCTAAAAGCTGGCGAATGCAGCAGACTTATTATATCAGATGAAGACTTTATTCTGAAGGTTAGAATACGGAATTCACTTTACATAATACATTTCTGGTTATTCCATGTTTATGTTTATCTCTAAACAGTAGAAAAATAATCAGCTATATAGGATTGTATATATATATATATATGTATGGCAAGATGCGTAAGTAGAGGTTGATGAAGTATTTTTTGTGTCGTAATTGTGATAAAATATGGGTTTCATCTTCTATTTTTATTTCATTATGTAATAATGAAGTGGGCATATTATGGACCGTTGTGTTAAGTTGATGTTGTTGTTTTTGTTAGTCATTTTTCTTCTTGTGAAAAAAATAGCTTTTTCGGGGTTCCCAGTGATTGTAGTTGTCGCTAGAGGGCTATTACTATTTGTTTATTTCAAAGATTTCAGTCGGCTTTATATGATTCGTTTTTTTGTGTGTGATGACGTCATCAAAATTAAAAATTGCGCACCTTGTGGCGGTTGCTATCGGTGCTATCTCTGGTGGTCGGGCAAAGTCGTGAAGACTGGGGTACCTTTCGGTCTTCGTGTCCATTTATTTGAGCATTGCTCTCTTGTTTATATTGTCCCTATCATGCGATGCCAGGTGTCCTATTTTTATATTTGTATTCAGGAATTGAGTTGAAACATATCTGTTTTAGGTTTTGTACGTTTGTTCTGATTTAATCGGCCTTCAATTCATTGATATTTGACAAATGCGACTTGAAAATGTGAAAATGCATTTGTTTGACAACAAGCAACAAATCGTCATGACATCTTGTCTTTTGCATTTTAGGCGATAAGAGACGAAGAAGAAAATCTGCTTAATATGCAAATGAAAATATATGTTGCTGGCAAGGCGCCGAATTCAAACGTCATGCAGTATTTGTCTTTGGAAGAAATGTCGGGTATGGATTTCCGTATTTTCGAACATATGAAGTCTTACGTCCTGCATGAAAATTGATGACATGATATAACTCGGAGACAGAGTTAAAAAGTATATATATGCTGAATATGCTCACTTGTAACTCAAGCCCAAACCTGTTCCGATCTTGCTTAAGACTGGAAAATCGACTCAACTCTAAACAGAACTATTTTGTTTTTATTGGCATACTTTAATACTTAAGTCATTAAGTTGAAACGGTTTTCAGACAACGAAACAACAGCTGTTACTCCAGTAGAATGGGTTCGACATATCACAATGGGATCACACTTTTGCTACATGTTTACCTCCGGTACAACAGGTGAATATATTGTGACGTAAAGTTCAAAGTTAGATACATCTGAATCAACAAGTTAACTATTTTTCATATCCTATTATGCATTTTTATCATCGGTTGTGCAACGTTCCCGAGTTTTATATACCACATACGTATAAAAACGTATACAAACGCAACGTATAAAAAAGGTGGAACAAACACCCATGCACTGCTAGGCATTGAAAGAGTCTTTGAAATTGTTGACATATATATCAATAAAATTTATTATATATACAAATACTACGTTTGATAGAATTATCTACAATATATGCAAGCTGATACAAATCAATATTGCAATGTACAGGATTGTGTACGTTCTACGCCAGTAGTGTGCTAGTTTAGCAACTATCAATTTGATTTTATTGCAACTTTCAGGTCCTCCAAAAGCCGCTATTATTTCACACTATAGAGCATGGATGGGTGCTAAAGTATTCGGTTTTGCACGAGTCACATTTGAAGATGTAGTGTATACAACGCTACCACTGTATCACGGTTCCGCTGCCATTTTTGGTCTACTGGGAAGTCTTGAAATCGGTACGTAAGTGAATTTGTACGTTAATGAGTTTTTGTGTATCATTTTAAATTAAAACAATGGATCAATTCTCGAATACATGGATGGACACGAAAGTCTAGTATTAATAGGGCATAGAAGTACCAAATACGCCGTAAAGATCAGCGGACAAGCCGACTGACGGAAGCGGTCAGATGCGATAAAATAAATGCGTTCCATTTTAGTTTGAAATATCAGGTCTAGTCATAGGAAGTTTGAAAAAAAAAATTATATAGCCTACTATAGCAACTCCTATCATCTTAAGGTACTGGAAATTTGAAATCAATTAGACTTTAGTTTCGGAGAAAAGCGATTTTTTCAACAACGACAAGGATAACAACGACGAGAATTTAGCAAAAGAATCCATAAGTCCGCTCCGTGTCGAATAAAATCGCAGTGAATTAACTGGTATCTTGAAGTAAAAATTAGTTTATAGAAACTTTACTAATTTATCATAATGTCGAGCATAGTCAATGCACAGATAGCTGGAAATTACAGCAAAAGGTACCAAAATAACAATGCATTTTAAACAGCGAAGTTATTCAGAACAAAATAAGCATATAATTATTTTGGTGTTGATGGTTGTGAATGAAACCGTAGGTCAGAAACCATTAATAATAGTACAATGCCTGGGTTTTCCTGTTAACTAACTCATCCATATCATTTCCCAAGGCTGTACTCTGGTGCTACGAAAGAAGTTTTCAGCCAGTGCTTTCTGGGATGATTGTAGGAAATACAATGTAACGGTTATCCAATACATCGGAGAAATGCTCAGATATGTCTGCAACCAACCAGAGGTTTGACAAATGTTCCTGAATTTCTCTTCTATGCCTTAGCACCGATGGATCCGTATGTATAAATAATACAAGAATGCTTTACAGTAATAGTAAAGCAATAGTAAAGACAACATTTTAAGTGATTCAAGAGACTTGCTGGATATTAGCATTCGTCTAGCATTATTAACAAAGTTGAATTATATCTGTCCGGGAACTGAAAACGTAATGCCACCGAAATATATTTGTGTTAGTGTATTATTAGTATCAAGACCCTTGAATCACTTCAGTCAATAATAGTAAGTTTTCAAGAGCGGGTGATCTGGCATTCCATTGTAGTTTGAGTAACAAACTAGGGCATTCCCAATTTGATCAATCACCAGTGTGAGTTTTCTTTTTTATATTTAAGAAATTAAATGACAAACACCACAATGTCCGTATGGGTTTTGGAAACGGTCTCGCTCCAGGAGTTTGGGATAAATTTCTGCAAAGATTTGGTAAAAATATCACATTAGCAGAATTTTATGCTGCAACAGAGGGAAATATAGGATATTATAATGTTACAGGAGCAAGACACCGAGTTGGCTTATCAAGTCCATTATATCACGTAAGTATGCTATGCAGAAATACATAGTTTAATTACGTTTCGGTCTATCTAATCTGTGTTCGTGTTTTATGGTATTTGCGTCTCTCATACGTCACAATATTTTAAGAGGCCAGACTACAATATTCAGTCCGCGTTGTGCTAGGGATGGCGCTTTAATAAAATTTACTGTTATGGAATGCTATTTTACAATTCATTTCGATTTCGATGATTTTTAATGGGTATATTTTACAGCGTTTATTATTATTTTCAATTTAAATTATTTTGTTAAACTGTATCTTTGCAATGTCTCCATTTATTAAACGCCCAAGTTTGTATTCAGTATATACTATATTATTGTTGTATTATTTAATGCATTACAATAACAATATTTATTCAGTTTTGTACATTGGTATTTCAGTTCATATGCGGTGTTGCTTTCGTGAAATATGACTACGTCAACGATGTTCCGATTCGAGACAGCAACGGAAGGTTTGTGTTGTGTACTTGTATATGTATTTGAAATTGAAAAGGGAGCTTGAGTTATTATAAAAAACTAACAACAAAAATTATTATCAGATTGTTGATAAGCATACTTAGAATATATTCATATACAAACATTTTGAGATTCCAAACTCAAAATTTGCAAAATTGATTGCAATTAATTTATTTTTAAATAAAAAAGACTCATATGTTTAATTCCCCTAACATGGAAATAATATTTTTGAATGCCTGATTTCATGAAATTCGTCTTTTTTTGAAACACAGTAAAAATTTGAATGTATGTTCAACTAAATTTTTTATACCCCATCAAAATGTGTAATATGTTTACATTCAGCATTTAAACCTTCCTCACTGTCGTTTCTAACTGCTTTCACAAAAATACATTTAACAATACCGTTTATTGCAAATAAATATAGCGCTAATTTATTGGATTGTAGATATGCCATCGCAACTAGAAATCAAGATCCTTTTTAAGTATTTTCAACTTTTTTTTTAATCATCTCACTATTCAATTGTCTTCAAATCATGAAGTCGCGTAAAATTACGGTCAAATACACAACAACTCCACACATATAAGGCACTGCTTGTTTGGAGCACGGGTTCCCCCAAACTGGTTAGAAAATCACATTTTTACCCCAATAGAAGCTTCAACTACTATTAAAGTAACTACCAAGTCTACTTTCCCAGTTAATACGACTTATGTTGTACAACTACAGCACACAAGACAATACACCTGATTGAATATGAAAAAAATCAAGTTAAGCTTAGCAGATAGAAATATGACAGAATTTTAGGGGTACACAAGAGAATTTATAAATTGTCCAAATGATCCAGATAAACAGAATGTTTGGAAAACCCGTGTTTATAGAGCATCGTTGTGGCCAAATGTGACGCGATTTTGGGCGCATGTTCACTAAGTACTTCTAGTTGGCGAGGCATAAACGTTTTTGCATGTGATGTTCCTAACCCCCACCTGATCACGTCATCCAAAAATTACGTCACTACGACGTCACAATCACAGAGCTTGCCAAAGAAGAGCTACTATCGGATGACGTAGTCAGGTGGGGGTTAGAAATTACACATGCCAAAATGGTTATGCCACGCGAACTAGAAGTGTCTATATCCTGGGTATTGTATAATGTTTGAAACGTGAAACACTGTGTTTATTAAACTTTCACAGGTGTATCAAAACTGCACTCGGAGAACCAGGCCTTCTCATAGGAAAAATAACCAAACGTACTCCATTCTTGGGATACAGAGGCAATAGGTCACTTACAGACAAAAAAATTCTACGTGACGTTTTCAAGGTACGAAACCACAAATAATACCAGGTTATAATCACTTCATTCATATCGTGTCGATTTTTTAAGCGCTTCTGATTAATACATGTTTGTACACTCGGGTTATTGCATTTATCTTAGCATTGTTGTATTGAGAGGGGGATGAAGCCAAGCAAAAGTGTAAACATGATCACTACGCTGGTCTGATATAGTTCGCTTCAAGTCCTACACCGTACTTTCAACGGTACTCCCGTATAGTGTGTGTCCCAGGTTAGGGTTAGGCCATAATTTTTTTACAATTTTCCTATTTTTAGTTCTATTACGACTTACGAGTTCGGGACTATCTGTGTTGGCCAAGTGAATATACCTCCAGCCCATAGGTTTCAGTCCCTTTACACAACTTGATGTAAAATAGGCGAACAAAATTAGTTATCTCATTATTGGTACACATACTTCTGCAGCGCCCTTTCAACTTGCTGCAGGTCTCGTGATAAACTCGTTGTTTGAAGTGAATTTTTCTTTAATTCAGTTTCTTATAACCAGTAATGCAGCATTTGCAAACTGCAAATGTCGTTATTTATTATTCCCAATTGGGCGCCAAGTTTAACTCACTCGTATCATTGTATTGATGCAAAAATCTTTTTTTTCCCGGACCTATTTCTCGCAGTTGACTATAGTATTTTCTTTCATAGAAATATCAATTTTTGTTATTTTCTCTGGGCTTTGTTGAACTTGAACTGTTCACCCCAAATTTCGATGACTGTGTTGCACCACCTCGTAGCAAACGAACAGCGCGAATGTACTCGTGAAGTGCCGTTGACATCGTGTCCTTTTGATGTGATATTTAAGTTGGAGCATCATAAATGAAAATAATATTATACCATTGTAAAATGTACTGCACTGGTATTTTCAACTTATTGTAAAGATTAAATGTATTTTAACTTGTATTTCTTAGCCTGGTGACGAATATTTCAATACCGGTGATATGATGCTCCGGCATCCGGACTATACTGTATCATTTGTAGACAGAGTTGGCGATACATTCCGATGGAAAGGTGAAAATGTATCGACAGTCGAAGTCGCTGATATTATGTCTAAAGCGCCTGGTTTATCACAAGTAAATGTATACGGAGTTAAGATTCCAGGTGAGTCAAGGATAAACGCTCAATCATTACATTTTTGTTATTTGAACGCACCACTTGAGATATGCACCATTTGTGTAACATATTTAAAATAAATATACCAATGACAGTTACTGGATCAAATACTCTGAAATTTGATGTAGTGAAATACGGTAGCATGGCGTAAAATAGTATCAATTTTAGACGTTTTGTCGTACGGTATCTGCATTTCGTTGTTTTGGTCCAAATTTTGCTGTCTAATGAAATTTCGCCACTAAACAGGTTTTCCGGAAAATTATTTCGGCAATCTCAAGTTGAACGAACGCCATTTAAACTTAAGGGTAGGGTCAGTATCATAATGGATTCCATCCTCTTTTTTGTTAGGGGATGACGTCCACCTTTATATATATATAAATAATCGAAAATAAATATAAATAAAAGAAACATTATCTAGTTGAATAGGAATTAATTAGAAATTAAATATTCTTCCTCAGGTTCGGAAGGTAGAGCAGGGATGATGGTTGCGGTGCTAAAACCTTCATGCGAAAAATTGGATTGCGCGGGAGTTTATGATCATGCCTTTGTTTCATTGCCGGCGTATGCAAGACCACTTTTCATAAGGTAACTTTTTCTCTTTTTATTCTTCTCTATTTTCTTTCTTGTCTCGTTTATTAATCTTTGTTCTGTTATATACACAGAATACAATCCAGTCTGCAGTTAACTGGAACTTGCAAACTGATAAAGAGTCATCTCGTACGAGAAGGTTTCGATTTAAGCAAAACAGGACACGACCCAATATATTATATGGACTCACAAACAGAAAGTTACGTTCCATTAACCCAAGACATTTTCAATTCAATCAAAGACGGATCGCTTTCATTGTAATTCTCATCATCAAATATCCACTAAAAAGTATGGGGAATATTTAAATATAATCCTATGTGTGTTTTATTTTTATAAAATATCGCTTTTTCGTCTCAGAATTGTTCCTATTTGTCAATGCAAATTCTACATAGATCATACGCGACTTCATTCCAACACCATAATTATGCCTGACCTGTGAGAGAAATTTAATCTTACTTATTTCTGCAAAAGGTGTCTTTGATATATATATGTTATATTATTACTAATCCAAAAACTAATTTTGGAAATTCGCTTTCAGAATTTCCACGGAAAACTCAAAATCATGGTTTCAAGCTAGGATGGGCTTTCTGAGTTGTTGAAATCAGGAAACAAAACATTTGTTTAAATTTTTTCTCAAGTCCTCTATTTTTAAAACATCTCATATATGCAGTTCCAGTAATTAATGTTGGGTCAACTGCAGGGCTTTGATATATAATTTTTGAGGAGTCTCCCTTGTGGTTTTGAGTTTAATGTGATTTACCACCCCTAAGTCTCGTGTTTTAGAAAGCTTCATGTTCCGTGGTTTCAACTGTAAAAGCGGTCGGCATTTGCTTTCTCTGACTCACTGACGTCCGCTTCCATTAGCGAATGTATCGAAACTAAATATTTCAGACGTACGTGAAACGAAAGAATAATATTTCTCACTTTTAATCAGCATCCATTAAGATTAATATGTTAAATTTTACATCGTTTTTATAGTTCTGGCTATTCTGATTTCGCATAGTTTCTTATAATGATTCTAAAAAGATGATTTTAAAAATTTACTATTTTTAATTTTGTTTTATCATTTTAGATTTTCAAGTTATATTGCACTCAAGTTGTTTCGATATATTTTTAATTACATCTTTTAATTGAAAATTGGTGCTTCAGCTATATTAAGTAGTGAAAAGAAAATTTTCTTTTTTCTCTTGGAATTCAGAAGTAATTGTCTTCGGCAAAGATCCTCCATCTTCGATATACAGTTAGCCTACCACGCTGGTAAAATTGGACAGATTCGATTTGCCAAACAACAACTTCCAGCATTCTGTATTCGACTTCACTTTTTTCTATTACAGCTTATATCCAATTTTCAGTATTTCCTCAAGCGTATGGGTTTTATCGCTAAACAGAGATATATTTTTCGCATTGTCGATTTCCCATATAAATTTAGGGCGATTTTACGACTGGTTGACTTGCTTCAACCGATAGTAGGTATGTGTCTGTATCAGTAATAAAACCATGTGTAGATTTTGCTACAGTGTAAATTTTCACCGACCGTGTTTTTGGCAATTCTACACTAAATGTCGCTGCTGAATTGTGTTGGGCGCATGCAGTCAGTGGAATCAAATAGAGTGTGAATCATGGACGAATATTACATTCGAATTGGAAACCCAAGGTAAAGTGATTGCCTGTGTATTGCTTGATGTGTAAATTAAAACAGAAAGGGAACGACGGAACGACAGGCAAAACCAATGGTAAAATTTACGATACAAATATTCAATAAAATACCCACAAGGAGGTCTTGCAGCGTTTTTTTCTGAGATTTTTCTTCAACTGCCACATCCAAACTCAAGATTTACCGAACTTTGCAGCAATGGCGTTGACCAAGTGGAAGTACGCCTGTTAAATCTTGACATCTAATACAACCTCCAATTTTGATAGATTAAAATTATAGGGATTGCAAATTAACAAGATATTTTGCCTCGTAACTTCATTGTGTATCTTTGCTCGGTACTGTAATACTACGAGACTTGAAGCTCCTCAAGCCAGTAGTAAAACAAATATAAATGGATTTGGAACTCCAAGGATGTCTGTAAACTTTTTATTAACATTATTAAAAATTGAATCAAGCGTAGTCCAGTACTGTACAATATTCAAAGATCTAATTAACATAATTATATATATATATTTTAATTCGCGGTGGCGGGACGAGAAACCAATTTTCACTAACTCTCCTTTGAATCCAATTTAGAATCGTTAGGCGTTAGGTTACAAGGATACTCGGAATAAGGTAATCAATCACACATTAAACGACAATAAAATAATATTCTAATAACACTAGTAAATATTTGATTACAATCTCCTTGGAGTACATTGCTTAAGTCCGATATTTCCTCCGATAAATATTATCTTTCCTTGATTAAAAAACTCTTGTTTTTTTTAAAAACCGCAGGCTTAAGTTATTCAGAAATAGCTAGATATGAAGAGAAATATTAAGTTTAATTAAGATGAGTTTTAAATGAGATTCAGTTTTGCTTCAATCGGTTGTCTTCGTATTATCAACCATTCTGCAGTTGACGTGACATCGCCACCTTCCGTACTAAACCTTTCTTCTGCAAAAAAAAAATGAACTTCACCAAACGTTATATTAATTACTTTTTTAATACCGTATTACGAGAAATTCACAAAATATAAATCGAAAATCAGGAACACAGATTAAATATTTAATTCCTAGTGATAATTGACGTGTAAAAAGTTAACGGGGAATTTCAATTTCGTATTTCTCTTATTGTCTGTGAGTTATCGAGTGATTTTCAAAATGTGATTGTTACATTTATGTTAATATATTGGTATTAACCATACGTTACTAGTTCACTACTTTGATATCCGATTTTAGCGGTTATGTTATATCAGTGAATTTAGTGAGGGTTAAGAACTGACTATATCAGAGCTTCCCAAACTTTTGAGCTCGCGGCCCCTTTTAATATATAAAAATTTTTCGCGGCCCTTGTTCACGCTAATAATGCTAAACAGTTCAAAATATGCATTTTTGATATTTTTTTGACACAGCTAATTCTCAACTTTTAATAGGGCTACTCAATAAAAAAACATCTGTACTCAGATTATTCAATGTAATGGGTGCGAATGCTTAGTGCTGCATAGCAAGTTCAGCCGTGGCGCAATGTTTGTTTATGCAGGCTAAATGATAAATTACGATGTCTGCCCACCGACGACCTGGTCCTAATCCGAAATTGTTCACTCATATTGATCAAACTTAGCATAAAGCAGGGGTTTGCAGCGGCACCAAATCACCAAGAAAAAAACTAATGGCGCAACTCCACTAAAAAAATATGCTGCCGAAAAATAAAACACAAGTTTGTCATCGTTAATATGTACTTTATGCCTTTTGAGGTTTATAAACATGTAGGCCTAACTCTGCCTAGCTTTTCTTTAAAATGCTTAAAACTCACTCATGTTCGATAAACTCGGTTCAGCAAATGAATAAACTGCGGCCAACGAAATTGCAGCATTAGGGTTTACCTGTTACGTAACAACGTAACAGAAAGTAAATAATATAGAACGGTAAAATGAATTTGATTCATATACACATCATTTGCTTTAATGAGAAACAATAAAACATTTGGAATAAATATAATATGTAATATGTTTCGAGGCGCACTGAGCAAATCGCTTTCCGGAATCGCTAGCTTAGCCGGCATTGTTATGCAAGCACGCAAATCGGGTCAAACGATCAGAATATGCATTGTTATGCAAGCGCGATGATTCTACCGTGTTTCCCCCAAAATAAGTCCAAGCCTGAATTTTAAAAATGATTTTAATTCAACCGCTCACCTTGACAAAAGACTTCGTCGATAGCGCAATTTGTTCACCTAATCCCGTGGAAGTTTCAATTCTGCTAGGGCGTCGCAAAATTTCGTGATGGTGTTATAATAAATAAGTTTAATTCTGAAAATTCGGTTTTCTGTAGATAACGATTATTTTTCCTTGGTTTAAAAAGCGTTGCGCACCCCATCTCCATGGGGATTTCATATTTATATAAAGCAGGCTTTTCTACCATGACCCAATAAATGTGATTTCACTGACTGTTGTTAGGTTTTGTTTGTTCGTTTATATAAAACTCATTGCAAAAAAGGTATTATATTGAAATGTGTCAATACGTACGGTATGTTTCACGGGAAGTTGCAACTTGAGCATCTGGAGGGCGTCACAATACAATGAAGTTCGAAAAACACTAGGTCCTAGTCGATTGGAACAAAATCTACTTTTTGAATGGTTAATAATATATATGTAGCAGCTATTTTAAATGAAAACGTGCTATTAAATTAGTATCATATTTAATCATATTATTTATATATTTCGGTATTAATATTTTGTATATTAAAAAAATCTCGTTATTCTCCACATCCCCCCAAAATGAGCCCTAGTGTTCGAAAGAAAATTGAAGACAATGTCTTATTTTCGGGAAAACACGTTATGATGATGTATATTCACTCGGAATCGTGAAATTATCGTTTTACACTATTTTTAATAATTGTATTTCGAATCAAGAGTGAAAAAGTGCAAAAGATATAGTACTTTGTGTAAAATTTGTGTTCTCTTCGCGGCCCCTGGAATTCGTTTCGCGGCCCCTTCCAGGGCCGTGGCCCCTATTTTGGGAAGCCCTGAGTTATATTACGCGTTCGGGGACTAGCCAAGTGATTCCGAAGTATTTTTACCTGAACTTAAATGCTATGAGAAAGTTTTTATGTGATTGAGATCACGGTAAGCAAGTGAGATCGCATATCCAAGTGTCACCCTTTATGTCCCCCTTAATTTGTGTATATTTATAAAATTTGTGCTATCGCTTTTGAAAAAACATTCTGGTGTAAAACACTTACGTCTATGAAAATCGACTTCTATTTTTGATATGGTTTTATCTGAGAACGTTTCTCTTTTCATCAAAGATATTCTGAATATCGCTCCACTCAACAACACGTTAGGAACGTTTCGAATCGTTAATTCTTTATCCCAAACAACGGTTCTTCCTGCAATATTTCCTAATCCTGTTTTTCCTCGAAACTGAGTGCTTTTCTTGTCAGATCTCAATATATTTCTGAAAAGAAAATGTTAATATGGTTTTTAACGTTATTTAACTTCGAGAATTCGTGATTTAAGTTACAAGGCTCTGCAAAGACAAATGGAACAAATATATCTGTAAGTGTGCTTATTAGGTTCATGCATTGGCGTCTAGGATCGAAAATTTTGCCCACCTAGACTGGCGGGCCATGTAAGTGTGCGGTAAAAAATAAAATTTCAACAACAATATTTACAGTGTTGCAAAACAAATATGGAAAACAAAAAGCCTCGTGCCAAAACTAAATTTAACCGCAATGTTAACAAATTCCTTGAACTATTAGCTAAAACATCAAAATTCAATTTCGGTTTGGTTTTGGCAGCATAAGGCGGGCCAGATTAAACCACCCAACGGGCCGGATTTGGCCCGCGGGCCGTGCTTTGCCCATGTCTGCTTTAGTGCCATGAATTGTATTCCACTAACTTAACCTGTGTTTGTAATAGGTTTTGCAAACGGCATCACGTTATGGATAAAGCTTATATTTGCTTGGGCAGGACAAAGAAATACATATTTGTTTTTAAAAAATTTCGGTGCCCTCTTGCATATTTGTTGTTAGACCATTTTTCGAAACCTACTTTTCAAACCTACGCCGAGCCCTTTTTGTGGACTACAATGTAAACCCTCAAGAGTACCAATGCTACTAACAACTTGGAACAGTTATTTCACAAAGCCCAAAAACACTAATTGGATCACAATTTAATTTTTGCCCCAGAATTAGATACTTCTAATGAAAACTTCTCCTCAAAAATTGATTCAAGAAGAAATCGTAGAAGTCCGCGATTTGTGCCAGTATTATAAGTCTTATTAAAAAAAACTTACATCTTTACATAAACAGAGCTTTTACCAGCACTTGTTATTTCTTCCGGTCCATCGCTCTTTCTAACAAATATTATCAGATTCCCAACTGCATCACTCTGCAGCGAAGGTCTTGCTTGACTAGACTCAAATGAAAGTCGTGCTTTCAAGCAGGCTTTTGTGGGAGTGACTCGTGTTGCATCCATGGACTGGTAGGTTACAACATATGGAGCGTTGGATTTCTGTAATATCAATAGATACCGAAATAATAACGACGTGTTGAAATCTTTAATTGATAGATGATTCAAACCTGTGGTGGGATTCAAATTTTTTGTCAGCCGGTTCCTTCACAAAAGCCATATTTTTCAACCGGTGCTGTTACAAACAGAACATAGCAGTAACGAGTAATGCTAACCGGTTCGCTGATCTCATAAAATTCCGTAAAACAGTTCTGTAGAACCGGTGCGAACCGGCTGAATCCCACCACTGATTCAAACGTACTGTAATAGGCGGCTGCCGGAGTCGTAAATTGAGTGTGATTTTACCATTATCATGCATTAAATAACACTTCAGTACGATTGTTGCGAGTTGCGAGTTTTGCTATTACAGAAGATGTGGATTGCCCATCAGAACATGACAAAATGACATAGTGAGAGTATTCGAGACCCTAATTTACCACTTCAAAGACTCTAGGATTGAACAAATTTAAAGCATATCTGTCTTTTTCATTCCCTCTTTGGATAGTTCATGCAAGAAACTTTCGCAAAAATTAGGACAATATTATATGTCGGTGGACGTTACTAAATCTCGTTGAAATATCCAAAAACATGCGAGAAAAACAATATTCGACATTCAAACCAGAAAATGAAGTGAAAGGAAGTGGAAAAAAGAGTGTATTTATATGAGAAATACAATTGTAAAGCAGGAACATAGGGCCTTCTTAAGAATTAAATTGTCTAGATTTGCTGAACTATTAAACTTAACTATTCCGATACACGTCTATAGAAAATATGATAGACTCGTCATAAGAATGCATATTCACTCTGTCCTATTAAACGTTTTCTGTCTACAATATTAATTTCGATTCTTCATTTGGTCAATTTCAGCTAGTTTTCTTTATCACCAACCTGCGCCATGATTTAATCATCCAACTCGATTCTGGAAAACGCCACGCTTCACGCGAGTCTGATCTCGAGATAAGCTACGGAGAAACTGAATTACTTGAGTGCACCATTATCAGGCAAACAAAATAACTATCAATATGTAGTTACAGATTTAAGGCGTTGCTGGGTTCTGTAAGACTTACTATAACGTGGCAACCATACAAAGTAGACTACCACAGTAACATCATCTCGGAATGACAAATTTTCTGAAAGCAATGACAAAGCGAGTTCAAAAAATGTTACTCATGCGTATACTATTACACTGGTCGATTCTTGCATACCAATTAAACATTAGAAAATGAACACAAAAAATTTAAATAATTTACCTTTGTAGAACTGGTTCCCGGCTTGGTGGATTTGTGTGTTTCAAGCTTTTTTTCCACGTTTGGTGGGCTTTCAACTTGCGATGTTTTTGTGGTTTCTGCGGGCTTCACTTCAGTGTCTTTCTCGTTTGCTGCATTACTGCTACTGCGTTTTTCACTTTCTTGTGGTTTACCAAAGGCTGAGTCAATTCCTTCGCCACTGGCGGAAGAACCTTGACGACTTTTCTTTCCTGGCCACGGCGATTGCGGAAGAGGAGATACGGCCTTTTGCTGAAGCCGAGAAACGCCAGTAAACCTCACAGCAGAATTATGAGGGTGTTCCAACGTCGATGTTTCCAATTTCTCTACCCCCGCAGATAAATTCTTTTCAATGTAAGCAGATACCTTGTCGTCATCAGTAGGCAATTGGTCAAGAGCCTGTGCAAAGGCTGAATTCAAATCATCGCTATCATAGCTGCTTGTGTACTCACTACTTTCACTGCTCTCATTTCCCTTCTCTCCCTGATGTTTCACAATATCTTGGCAAACGGAACAATTGCTGCTATATGACGACGGAGTTACAGATATAAAGGATGAGGTGTCATGATCGGAATTACCTTTGGCGAGAGATTCACCAATTTTGTGGTCTGACCTGGTTTTGGATTTGAGGTTTGATGGTTCGAGGTCAGAGCTGTTGATATTCGATGGAATGTTGGGAAAATTACTTGAATTCGAATTGACATCAATAGTATTACTTTCGTCATAACTTTTTGTCTTCTTGAATACATCAGACTCCTTTTTCAAATTCGTTTGTCTCATTTGGTCAACTTTTGGGATGACCTCTTCCAACCCAGAAGTGGGAACTTGATCTTCATTGATGCCATTTTTATCCAGTATTTCACAGTTGTCGGGATGCTTTGTTTCATTGTCAGCATTCTGTATGTTTGACGTAATTGTTGAAGTTCCTTCTGGAGCAATGATACAACTGGGTGTTTCAATTTGAATAGAGCTGGGGAAACTGACAGGTTGAACTGGAGAAAACATTTCATTTTTAGTATCATATGCTCGTTTTGTACCTCCACTCCTTTCCATCGCAGGTGATTTTTTTCGGACTTCAACGCTTGAAGCTCCTTTTTCACAATTTTCAGCGTCCGTTGCCATCGAAACACATGAATCCTCTTTCATCAATGGATCGTTATCAAGAACGGAAAAAGAATTTCTTTTTTCTTTCTGTTTGGAAGAAGTGCTATCAGTAACATACTCACCGTTTGGGCTATCATTAGCAACTTGATCACATTTGGTGCCTGAATCATTCGAATCTTGTTTAGATAGTGATTTATCCACATTTTTATATTCATGAATTTCTTCAACTTTCACTCGGCAATCAAAATTCTCTTCATTGATAATGCTATCTTGCATAATCTTAGCTACTTTATTCAATGATATACCAATTCCACCGTCCTCGGATTCGACAGAATTGAGTGCTCCATCTTGACATGCTTTCTCATCAATGAAAGAGAGGAATTTTTCGACCATCGGCTCATTTTCGGTTTCTACTTCACTATCATCGCTTCTTCCTGAACTTGACTCTAGTTTGCCAACTTGTATTGACGCGTTATTATGAATATTCATGGGTTGATTTCCAGCATCTGTTTGGTGATTTTTTTCATCGCTCAAATCGACCGTTTTAGAAGTTTCATGGGAAATATTTGGCTTGTCGTCTTTTCTGCTGAGCACTGAAATCGATAAAGATTCATCAGATTGTGTCGGTAATTTCAGATTAATGGTGTCTGGCAAACTCATAGCTCCGATTGACTTGTCGTCTTCATCGTCATTTTCCGGGGGGTTTCCCGCGTATTTTTGTTTATTAGGCGAGTCTTCACTTGGGTGGATTTCTGAATGCATTTCTGTATTCTCTGTTTCATCAACTACATTTACTTGGGAAGCCTCATCTCCATCTAAGTATCTGGGCAACGATGTAGAATCTTTTTTCGACATATCTTGTGAATAATCCAAATGTTCTGTAGTCGTTGATTCCTTTGTATCTGCGTCTTCCCTGGAAATAAAATATAATAAAATAGCTTCTGATATTAAGATTTCTTGCATATGTCCAGATTAAGTGCTCTCACAGCGACGCTGAAAATGTCTTTAGACAAGCGTTTTATTCGCGCAGAACTAGTTCGAATGAACGCCCCAAAACCTTTTTTTCGCTAACCCATTTTATTCCGCCAACGACTAGCGCAATGTGTGTTGGTTGATTGATGTCTTTCGCTTAGCCCCGTATAAATACACAGACATTTCGTTGATGAACTTAGTGAAGAACCGTCATCCGACCGTATACAACTTTTCCTATACCTTTGCACTCATATCTTAATTACCTGTTTTGCAGTCTTGTCAAAATAGCTGTTCCAGTACAAAGTGCTGCAAATCTAATTAATATAGAAGCAATGTTCTCTGATGACATTATGTTTTCCGATTCTGCCACCCATTGCTCCTGTAATTAGGATACCGATCACACTAATGCTTAGCGCCAAGCCATTTCAAAAATGGTAATCACCATTTTTCTTCGATAACAAGTTGCTGAGTTACAAAGAAAGTAGATCGACCATAGCAACGATCGTTGCTTACATCACCACGAAGATAGATACAAAGTATAGAATTAACAATGACAATTACTAGGTTTAACATCCTGTCATCAGTTTGAGACTGTGAATTTAAATTTACTTTATACTGCATTACGATATTGATATGTACCTACAACAAAACAAATAGAGATAAATTATTACGTTGAGTGAATTAAACCTTGGTCAACATTGAGCTTCAAATATTTCTATGTTATATTGGCGGGCGCAGGGTCAAGATTTCATAAATTTTAATTGTTACAAATATATATTATAACATTCCAAGAGCTCGGGTGTGGAATGCAGCAGGAGGCCCTGTGCAATTGGTATCTTAAAATATGCCAAAAAATGAGAAACACAAATTTGGCGCGGAACACCTAAAGGTCTTTCATGGAACACAAGCGAAACTCACTCATTATATGGTTACATTGGTTACATTGAACAATATAAATATATAATAATAAGGACGCTCGGATTTGAATGTAAACTTGCAGGATCCTGGTTTAAAACTAGAAGTACGAAATAAAGAAAAGCACCTTCAACATTTTTGGGAAAATATTTTGTGCCATATTATTACATTTATTATCCAGAAGATTATAGCTTTATCGTGAGTCGAGAAAAGCTAAGCTGTTAACCCTCTCAGACTCGTGGATTCTAATGATGGAGAGAGCCTCAGCCAATCAACAGTTCCGCGAAGCACCTTGCCGACCGAGTTCAGTAATCTTCTCACTAAGAATTACCACAATCAAATGGGAAACACAAGCCAGAAAGATGTACAGTATACGATTTGCAGTAGTATTGTGTAACCATTAAACATAGAAACAGAAAGAGTGCGATGCTAAATATATGGACACGATGGCCAAAACGAAGCAGTAGACTACCTTACCTTATAAAGTACCTCGCCTTACGTATAGTCTACTTAACCGTATGTTCAAAATATTTCCGACTTTCCGCGTAGCACGGCATTAGCATGAGAGAGATCGCGGAACCGCTAAAATACTTTACATTAAATTTGAAAAGATCATCATATAAAATTTCAAAACAACGTAAATTTACTACAACACATCACCAAGCAAGTTCCATGATACAAAAGCCGACTTTGCTAAGTTGCAACCCATCAGAATTCCCGCTGTAAAAATTATAACTCAACAAACTCGTGATATTGCATAAACATTATAAACTCAGCATGTATAGGTTTGGTTGATAAACTGACTTTACCGGCCTAGGTTTTTCAGCCAGTACATTCCTGTGCTGGTTTTTAGCCTTGCCAAATTCATCGGTTACAATTTACCTTTTTAGGTATTTTGTTTACTAATAAGCTCAATAAGATAAAACGTCAGAAGAGTTTTGAAAGGAAGATCTAAATATTAACTCATGCGTAACTAAAGTGGGAAATACGAAACAGTGCGATAGAAAGTCGTGATGAAGCATTTCCTGTTTCAGCGTTTCGAACCGCTCGCTTCAGCTAATATACAAGGGCAGAGACATTGTGGTTAGTAATTATACTACAACAACAAGGCTTGATGCGTGCTTAATATATAGTATTTTAAATATGTACAGAGCTTAGAATAGAAGTAATTCTTTCAGTTAGGTCGTTACTGTGGTACAGAGGGTGAACGTTTTTGCGACACGATATAATATTTCAGATGTAGTCGTGATACTGGCAGCGTGTTTGCCTTCCATGTTTAATGAAGGGTGCCTTTTAAATGTGTCGGTTTGCTTCGATTTGAATAGAAGGTAACACCACGCAAACATCCCATACCCTGCGCTGCTTTCGAAACCGAACTAGTCGATCGGTTCCAACATTAGCCTACTGAGGAACACATGACGCCATATTTGCCACATGCTTGAGAGTGGATGATAGTCTGAAACACTCTTGAAATGAAGACGTCAATTTAGCGTAAGTAAATTAGATGACTAATTGAGAAATGTCTCAAATCATTGCTGATCTTGTATATATTTTGTGCTGTGTTTGTCCATAATTCAATGGAAATATGAAATATACGAATATGTTTTCTTATTAGCATAGGTGTTTGTTTCCAACATCACCTATCGATTCGGAAGTTTTTTTTTAATATTATTCAAGCCTTTCGCTTTGAACAAGCAGCCACTTAAATATAAGGATAAAAGTTAGCTACTATTTTTGTTTTCGTGTTATAAAGCGTCGAACTTTATACGTCATACCAATAATGTCGTATAAAATAATTAAGATTCACACCGTGCTCATGTGAATTATTTAGTTGGGACAGTGTTTTCATTGATGTGACATCATCTCAGATGAGCATGGCTTTTGATGTAATAAAAACTGAAAGTTGTTTTTAAAAGAAATTAGCATACTGCGCATTTTTGTTTGGAATTTCATAATCAGCAACAACTGAATTCCTATTAAGTGGCTTATCACCAAGAGGCAAAATATCCTGCTTTAAAAAAAATCCAATTCATCTGTTCCGTTTATTGGCAACGAATGTACGAAGCTTTTCCCCCATTTTAAAAGTCATGTTTTGATGCGGTAATTTAACAAAGTACTGTTGTTAAAAACTTAATTATATGCAATTAAATTTCCTAATTGTTCTTGGGATCGATCAACAAAAAGTACAATCTGGCGGGTACGTGTACAGGCGACATGTATACAACTCATTCATTACCTCACACGGAAGTTCGCATTGAACAGTTGTAGGCTTTGCAGTGTGAGATCAATTTCAGATTTGCTAGTATTGATGCAGCAAGATTTCATGCAAGCCAGTTCCCGTATAGGCTACAAGAGCACCTGACAGTACAAACCTGACAGATTTTATCGATATCGGCACGTGCAGTGAAATTTTCAAATAGCAGATGAACATCTTTTCGATATGGGATTTACCATGAATGGACGTGCTTATCCAGTTTCGAAACACAGAGGAAAGTGAGCATAATAGAGGAGGTGAGGTTTATAGTAAGATATGGCGTGATTAAGGTATGAAAATTTTATGCAACCTTCTGCCACAAGGTTGTAAGAATATTAAAGAGAAAGTTGCTTTCAGCTTTCTTTTTGTAATGAAAGAAATTCACTTCAAGTGATTTATACCGCGGTTTTATTTTATGCTTGATTTTTTGAAATTATACTGTAGATTTAGATCACAAATTGCCATAGTCGAGAGCTATATTAGTCTTCTGCTTATTTACATTACAGCTGTCCGATTCAAACGTTATAAAACACCACAGAAACGACATGATTTAAATTGGTATTGATCATATTTAATTTAATGCGAACATTTCATTGAAATTTTGCTTTCTCAAATTTACAGTACATGTTATAATGAATAGTTTAAATTACAGTCGTCGGAGGGCGCTGTTTACTAGTTCCAAAGGGAGTTACATTAGAAATAGCCTTGGGTCTCGTGACAGCCTTGAATCACCAGATGAAGATGGCGACACCTCTTCAATATCAGCATTGAGTACGCAAAGTACCCGAAGTCTTAAGAGTTATCGAAGTTGGAGGAAATTACAGAAACAACGACGGCAGTTGAAAAGGGCGCAGACTATTGGCGGGTTTGAAGCTATGGATAGTACATTGGATGCTCTGGATTTGAGCGGAGAATTCGGGTAAAATATTAAAATATAATTCAATATAGTCGTGCCCATGAAGATAAAGCGAGTTTATAATTTATTTACAATCAACAGGAACGCGACTCCTTCGAAGAAAGAAAACGGCGTTTTTGATGAAGGTTTGTTGATATTTTGGCAAGATCCTATCACTTATTGAATGTATTGCATGGATTTTAACTTTTTCAATATGTAGGTCGAGATATAGCGATGTCGATGCCATAGCGTTTTTCACGTCGCAATTTTAGATAGATCCTAAAATTTTGTAGTGAATTTGCGTTCACTTCACCGAGGTCATTACTAAAATGAGCGTAGCGCATAGCTAACTTGCGAAAATAGAAACCCGCTCGTTTCTTTATGCCTAGTGATGTCTTGAAAGCTGTTTTACATGAAGCATTTTCAGTGATGAAGATTTGTAATACCAAAACACTTTCAGGCATAGTTGCCAAGACAACTCTCAAAAACATTCAATCGTTAATTTGACCTTTAATTATAAATTAGGTTTGATTTAATTAGCTAATAAATTGCAATGAAGCAACAGAGTTCTGAATATCTTATATTTGAAGAAACAATTCTATGTCTATCTCATTTTACTTTTAAGTATAAACGGCTCTTCTTTTATTATTTGCTCACTTCGTGAAACTCAAGAAACTAAAAAAAAGGTTTTCCTCCATTCAAGTATGTAAATGGTTTTGTTTACTATACGAACACGGAAATATACTTGAAATCGTTCCTGCAAATAATCATCGAAATGGAACTAATACTTGAAACAAGCTATAAAATGTTCCTAGTTATTACTTCCTATTTAAATATCTCATCCAGTAGTTATATATGTTCACGTCTGGCCTGGCTGGTGGTGTCTATCTTAGGTTTGACAAGATCTTGCGCCAATTTTGAACGTATTTAGGGCAACAACTAAAGGATGACAGTTTAAATAGTCAACATCAAAGGCATTCATAGTTTAGTTACATTGTGTACGAATTTTTATTTGTAAAGGCACTTTTAATTGAAAACGTTAAAATATCTTATAAGTATGGTGCTTACATGCTACATTATCGATCATCTGGTTCTGGATTTTCACGTATATGCAAGATAGAATTATAATTCAATGACTGATTTGAGCAATTCTTTTTTACGCAGCTCATCATTTATTATGATGAGTTTGCCATATTTCACCAGTCGTTGGCACATTGTGTTACTATGCAGACAGTCGTGACAAGTCCAAAATCATGATATGCCAACGTGTTTTCCACATCTAATCATTTGGCTACTCCAGTATGTATGCATTTATGTATGTATATAAACGCCAATACATTCTGGCAATAGGTTTTCATAAATTGTTAAATCAATGCAACATATATCCTATACAAGTAAGAGTAGTTTTAATATAAAAGTAAAACACAATATCTGATTTCGACAACTTGACAAATGCTTTTCCCAAGCGACGCGCTATGTCATGACTGCGTTGAAATAAGTATTGCACACGAAGTGGACAGACGGTTAGTTGTGTTTCTATGTTGTTTATATTTTAGTTGTAAAAGAATCGCTCTTTTTCTTTAGCATTTGACTAATTGTTTTAAAATTTTCAGTGGTTGAAGACTGCATTTTTCGCTAGAAGTTACTTTTATTTATTTAAAAAAAAAATATTTTTGTGTGCAATGACGTCATCAAAATTAAAAATTTCGCAACTTGTGGCGGTTCCGCGTTCGCTTTAGTGGTCTGGCGAAGTCGTGACAATTGCGGTACCTTTAGAGTAGACTACTGTGGCAAATTGCATACTCATACTGGGCCCACTTTGTTTGGGCTTTCGTGTCATATAATTCAGCATCGCTCTCTTGCAATAAGAGAGTGTGATTCGCAGTGAAATTTTTTCCAATCAACAAGGATATAAGTGACGTCATGTCATTGAATTTGAACAGAAATTTATTTACGTAAATTAATGTTGACGTTTGTTGAAAGCGTATCAGACAATCATTTAGTATTGAAAGACGTTATGGCATTTGTCCAGGGATGTAAGTCGAAAATAAATTCCCGCATTATTTCTTACTTCCTTTACTCGTTTGATCTGTAGAATATAAAACAACATAATGATTTGTGCTTTAGACACTGGCTAATCACCATGCATGAAAATGGATAGAGATATATAAAATCTGCATAAGTGCTGCAAAATTAAACATACCGTGGATGCATAATTGTTTTCATTTTTTTTATTAATTTTGACGTTATGCTGTAGGAATATTCGCCATGAACTTGCAGACTTGGTCGTGCTCTATATATTTCCGAGTAGGAAATTTAGCACATTAACGAGGAATAAAGCGTTGTAAATATTAGAGTGTATGTATATACTTTACCATTTCATATCAGTTCAATTGTAATAGGACATTGGGATAGGACTCACTGCGAAATGTTAGTTGTTTTCAGCTGCAGGTAATTGACATACACGAAACTGTAGTGATATTCTAAAATATTGAAAGAATAGCCACACACTCCATAAGGAATTACGAATATACTTGACTGAAATGCACCTTATGCATTAAGTTACAACGTGCCACACTCTATTCTTGTATAGTTGCGCGATGCGGCATAACATTGCGTGATACCAAAGTTTGCGTCACAGACGTTAGAAAAGGTCAAGTTCAGAATGTTTTCAATCATTGAATTGGCACATTTTCATCTCGTGTTTTCGACCAATATATATATCAGTTCACAGATTTTTTTCACAGAAGTTTCACAGAAAAATTTGTTTACTATGATGTTTTCAGAAGCAAATAAAGGCTAGTCTAGTTCGTGCTAGCATACGTACTAGACATCTTGCCTTGTATTCGGGGTATATTTTATAGATTTACACAGATTCTAGTAATTTTGGGAAATCCTCTGTAATTTAAATCGTGAAAATTCGTATAAAATGTATAACTCATCTAATAGTGACAAGAAACAAATTTAACTCATAATTGCCTATCATGAACCTCGTTTCTCTCTCTTACAAATCCCCGCGCATGTATGATAGACTATGACGAAAGAAATGTTTTCCCTTTTTAAAAACAAATTATGCTTATTACATTTGGCCGCGATTGATATGTTCAACTTGAGCCCATATTCACGACCTTTAATATTCTCTAGAGAAATGTCGCATTCCGCATTGTGTATCTCAGTATCCAACTTGCATTCCAATGCAGGAGTTAGACGCACACGACGACAAATTCAAAAATAATCCACGACGTTGTCGTCATGCGCTTAGTATTAGGTACAGTACTTTGTTCTACCGCATCCATATTGAGCTATAGTAAGAGATAATCAGGGTACCATAAAGCTAACACTGAATTTCATCGTTATTTCAAAGTATGAAAATATCCACGAAACCATTGAAAACACAGTATTTGGAACTATAGGACTATACAATATACTACAACCGAAAATACTTTTTGCAAATTCCGCAGTTTAATATTGGACTTCGCTCATCATAATCATTAATAATGTTTGTTTCTGGCATCGAACTTTGAGCATGGTCTATACAGAATTGATAAATAGGAATTTGATGAGTTTAAAAACGGCGACAAATTGAATAATATATATAGTACAGTACATGACGGCGATTGATTTCTGTAAAGTGATTCATGCAAAACTGTTGATGCAATTTTAAGGATATCAGTAAAAGATGAAAAGCAGTTGCAGAATTTTTCAGCAGTAAAGTTGTATTCATTTTTGTCGAACCCAACATTTTAGTGGCTCGGTTTAAAACAAAGTTTGTTATGAGATAGTTAGTATCTGTTTTGAACAGGGAGCGTATGAGAGGAATCTAGAGAAATATCAAGTTTTGTTTTCCTCTTTTTTCAAGTATATTGTGGCTAGTGACTGTCACAATATGCATAAATAAGTTGGACCATGTTCTAACAGAAGTTTAGGTGAAGTTTTAATATTGTGGAACAGAATATTTCTGAACCATCAACCGTTGATGTTGTGGTTGAAAAATATTTAGACCTTTGTACAGTGCGTACTCAGACTAAGCGTTTCAGATTAACTGGACTTTCGAACCGACTTTAGGGGTGTATTTGTGATCATAATTACAAAAGTTTCCAATTCTGTATAATTCAGGCCTTCAAGCAAATATTCCAATGGTATTCCAACAGTCCAATTATCTCAATTCTAATTTTACAGTAACTCAAAGTGCGACTTCATCAATTAACATAAAACTCAAGGAAACAAGTGTCGACGATAAACCGCATACTGTTATCACCACCATACCCCAGTCTCCGTTAGAACCGTTTTATTCTTCATCCTCTTCATTGGCGAGTTCAACAAGCCGGTCAGATGAAATCAGCACACCACGAAGAACTCCTCGTTCAGAATCGGACATAGACGAATTTGAAGACAGCGAAATTCAGAAACATTTTAAAGAATCGTTTAAGAACAATAAAACCCCTTTACAGCGAAGATCTTGTCCGTATATATTTCAGAGTGATACATTATATTCGACACCAATTGGGGAACAGATAGGCGCAAATTATCTGGTGACAAACCCGTTAGTATTTCCCTCGCAAGAGAGAAGGTGCGTATGATCTCATTCGATGTGTGTGAGGAATTTATATCTCATACTATTTAAATATGTGTTTTTCAGTGGTAAGTGATTCCAACCAGTAGCAAAAATGTTGCGAAATACTCCAATGACGACAAATTTTAACTATGCGCGTAGCGTACGTTATGGGAGTTATTATACAATGTTTATTGACCCAATTATACTCGTCAGTCTACAAGTACATGTATAAGCATTATGTTCGATTAAATCTGCCGTCTTGCAAGGCACAAAACCGTCATGCGTTGTACATAGTTGAAGATATGCTTAAATAAAATAAATATGCTTGTATTTGTTTCAGATCATCAGCAGGTGAAGTTCCATCCTTGAAAAGTCCGCCTTTATTGCTTGAACTTGCAAAGTTAAAGGTACGATAGCACAGAATGTTTTATATTTGTTCCGGGGAGACCAATGCGAATGAAATAGTTCAATATTTTGACGAACCACAGCCTCCGCGTCTTGATAGCCTTTGGGAATAGCGTGTTATTTATTGCAAATGCGCGACTTGAATAGCGAAGAAAGTGGTGATACGGTGGCAAATAGTCCTAATCTCACAATACAATCGCACTTATTTATCACGCATGCTTGGCAGCGAGGCTACATCGCACGAGCCTTAAAAGTCAGCACTATCTCCCAATTGTCGTACCCAGTGGGTGATAGATTAAAATTTTAATCAGGAAAACGTTGATATACTTGTTGGAATTCTTCGCTGAGCCTTGCGAATGACCGCTCATCCCAATCCACGTGGGTTATTTATGCAAATAACAGAGGTGTAAAACGACGTAAAATAGGCCCGAACATTAATTATTTGTTATGTCAGAAAAATTTCAACGATTATTAGCCAAAGGCGCATGACTGGCATTGCAATTTTTGAAGAAATCTTCATATAGAATGTTCACACAGAGACACTATGACGTTCTCCACTAACATGCTGGCTTACGATTCATGCATGCAACTTTAACCCGAACCTATCTCGACTTACATGTTTGCTTTCTCATTCAACGACTTGCAATACTCGTCTTTCTTCGTGAAAACGAGACATAATTCTTTTGTTTTCATTTGTTTAGAAGGCGACGAGAAAAATGAGCGATACCGCATATGAACAGCAAGAAACAGATGAACTTGATGTTGTATTTGCTGAAACTAACGGATTCACGGTTTCTCTTCCAATAAATTCACCAACCGTACCGGCACACATGTTAGGAGATGAAGTTATAGAAAAAGGAGATAAAAATGACGAATATTTTTTTGATAAAGATCCTAGAGAAAACGAGAGAATACACTGGAAAATGGAAGCAAGCAAAAGAAGGCAAATTGAGAGCGAGAGAAAGCAGAATAACTTGACGGATTCCTTCGATAATCCAGACAGTGTTCCACATCAAATTGCTGTCGAAACAAATTCCGGGAGCTACTTTCTTCCTCCGCTAATAGCGAAGGCGATAGAAAAGCATAACGCAAGTGTTAGCGAGGATACTTCGCGTTTATTTGAGCGCGATAAAAATTCAAATTTGAAATTTTCGGAGAAAAACAAAGGAACACGTGCGGCGTCATCAGCGTCATCCACCCAAGAAGCAACCGATGATGAAAATGTTTACATGGAAAACGCTGACGACATATTTGATGATCTTCGGGAAAGGGACTACCTGAATGTACCCGGACAACGAGCCCTACCAGAAACAGGTAATTAAATGCGTAATTACCTCAAGTGTGAAGTAATGGCAGGCGACAAGTTTATTCTGTCCAGTATTTTGCTAAGCTGTAAGATTATTGACAATTGACTCAAATAGGTGTAATTGCTCAGCAAAATTTTGATACTATCATAAGAAATGGCTCAAATAATTTGTAATTGCTCAGCAAAATTTTGATACTATCATAAGAAACGGCTCAAATAATTATCTGTACTAATTCCAATAAACTAAACAAAACTATTAATATAATGTTTTTATAGATACAAGTAGCATCACGACATGGGACAGCATTGATCCCATTGAAAATATATTGGTTCGCGAGGATCCTCTACCCGCTGATGATCGGACGTTTACTTTGAATGGAAAAGCCATAATTACACCAAAGCCCGACAAACAAGTTGAAGAACATGTTGAGGTATATTGTATATATTTATTATGGGTTATATAGTAGAAAAGTCAACTTTCGCTTTGTAATTTGTAGTTTTTATACGAAGGCGCAGACCCAAACAAATAGCAGAAGAAATAATATTCATAACACTAAAGCATTTGTCGTTTTGAATTTTACACATAGCAAAGAATAAAAAAACTTCACACTCTGACATGTCTTTGATGTTGTATGTTGACTTTCTATGGACCGTTACACAGTGTTTTCCAAATCTTTCCAGTTCAATAAATCCTTTTTATGACAACTCATGCAATCGGTCCTATAGGACATTGATGCAAAATTAATGTGAAAGCACCTATACAAATATATACTAAAGTCTCGCGAATTTTGGTTTTACTTTTGACGCCTCTGTGATTTCTGGTAAACCCTATATATCTATAATTTATTATATTAATTTATTGGCAATGTATTGAGATAAAAATGTCTGCAAATCTGTTGTGTCATGTTGAAAAGACCTGTAAAGCCCAGTTTTTCTGTATTTTCACAGATATGCTTTGAAAAAATATTCTGATAAACAGTTTATATGGAAAAATGAATCGAACGAGTAAAAATATAAAAATCTTTTGGAAACACTGATAAAATACTGAATAAAATCATGGCTTGGCAATATCTAGACCAGAGGTTTTCAATCGGGTGTTCGCCAGAAAATTCCTGAGGTTCCGCAAGTTTACCTAAAAATCCGAACGTCTATATTATTACTGTATATGAACTGTATGTGTATGTATATCAGACCCATTAGGTTTGCCACTATTATTAAACAATCTACACTTCAAATTTTATTCTTGCCAGTATCAGGTTTGCTTCCATATATATTTTCATTTCATACAATTCAAACAATAAAAGACAATAAAATAACTATTGCAGAGGGGTTCCTCGTACCTCGAAATGATTTACTGGGTTTCCGCTCCCCCGAAAAGGTTAAAAACCACTGATCTATACACAACAAACAGGTCTATTCCATTAATGTATATTATATAACATATTCATATTCTAGCGTTTCATTCTTGTGTCTGGTTTCATCGCTAATTTTATCATCCAGGTAGTGGCTTTGGAAGCAGCCGAAGCTCCTGCTCCAGAAACTTACAAAGATCTCCACGATTTGGTTGCGACAAAGAATGATGAAACATCAGATACCGACACGAAGTCTAGCCAAATTCATTCGCACAAAGTTGGAGAAGATTCAAAATGTAATATTTGCAATAACATAAATAATACGGTGGGTTGTACACAAATTAATTGTTTTTGGTATTTGTACGATCCGAAGCGAGTTCGCTTCAATTTGAAAATGATTTTTTTTTAATTGATAGGATATACATATAGGCGTTATTAATATGAATTAGTTTGAAGCGGCTCCACAAATTTCGGCGCTCCACAAGTATGTGTACCAATATGGAGGTAACTAATTTCGTTCGCCTACTTTACAACAAGTTGTGTAAAGGACTGACCCCTATGGGCAGGGGGCACACAAACAGTCCCCGAACTCGTAATAGAACTAAAATAAGGAAAATCTGGGTAAAGTTATGACCTAACCCTATCCTGGTACACATACTACCGGAGTACCCAAATTTCAGTAAAAAGGAGATGCAAATATTACTGTGGTGCTGGGATGCATATCATTATTATTTAATGTGATACTTGGAAAAAAACTAACGATGAAACCATTTTACAATCCATGCAAATTTGATTGCTCGAAGTTAAAAAGTCACCGATAGTATCGCAACTCGCATATTACTATTGCACTTCCTTTGACATTTCACTGTGAATTATTTATTCCGTTATTCCGTTAATTTCTCAACAACATTTAGATGCCAACTGTCGTCGAAGAAACAGAGTTTGTGGCAAAGTCGGAGTCTCAATTCGAATCTGGAAATCCGGAGCAAGTGAATGATGTGCAGAAAACAACAAAACCTATTCATTCTCATAAGGTTGGAGACGATGCTAATTGCGAGCATTGTTCTCCAAGGAAAGAAGGAGAGGCGAATGTTTCGGACATTGCTCCTGATTTATGTTGCTCTATATTATAAACTGTTACTATGAGGTTGTAATAAACACCAAATTCGAGTTCTTTTGTATTATGGTACACAGTATACACAATAATTTTAATAATTGTCGTTCCAAAAACGTCATATGATATAATTTATCGAGTTCAAATAGCAATAATCTTACGCACAAAGGGAGCACTGATGCATGCATTATACATATATATATGACTGCAAAATGTCATTCAAGCTAGGTTACTTCGGTTATTGTTCGGTACAGTTTTTGCATTTCTTTTACTGTTTAAAAACAAAACCAGGTGTTATGCCGTTTATTTGTTCTGTCACAATTATTGGATCGGCAGCCATGGTCAAATTACTGCATCGTTACTTAGGCAAGTCGAATTCGTTTTATATCTAATTTTAGGAAGCAAAGAGGATGTTTGTGAGTGATTTGGTTTGAATTTGCAGTGATAATGAAACACTTTTGGCACCAAGAACGAAGAAAACTTATAAAACTTGATGCAAACGCGAGTTAAGTTAAACGTTTATTGATCACGATCAAACAGTGCATAAATAACAACCAGTTTTCAAGTAAGGCAAACTATAATTTGGAAACCCCTAAAATGCTGTTGGTAACGAGGCATGTGAGCTGTCGCGTTGTGCTAATTGTAATTGACAAACCATGTGAACATCGGAAATTACCTGGGTATTTACAAATAAAATTGGCCGGGTTTTGAAACGCGTCTCGTAGCATAATGTGATTATGACATCACAACTGTATTTTAACTTTTTTGCAATGTATTCAAATTATTTATAATAGCATATCGAGAGTTTTTGATGTTTGATGTCATGGAAAACGGCAACCCGAATACGCAATCGATTGCAAAGTTGGAGGGTTCGAAAATTTTGACCCAATCAAATAAAGATCCGTTGCTGTTGTCTTTTCTACGTAGAGCAAGCGTAGAAATCAGGCAATATTTACATGGTACCGAACCGAGTCAACATTTACAAACTGGAACCACGAGCGCGGAAACCAAGTTCAACAAAAAAGACGGACCTTGTCGTGCGGATAACATTTGTTGTCGCGACGTCGAAGGTCTTGAGAACAATTCCACTGCAGGTCAAATGGTAAAAACTGGTTGCGGAAATTTAGTAAGAATTCCAGATGAGGGACCAGGTACATCTGGGAACCTAAGTTCAATAGATTGTGCTGTAGTGAAATAAATATCCAACAAGTTGAGTACAGATTTGAGAGGAAGGGAAATTTCGACACGACATGAGCTATCTATGCCTGAAGATGATCTGTCAGAAGTACACGAAATGCGTGTAAAATATCATAGAATGTCAATCTTGTCAAAAAACGTCTTCAAAATGAGAGAAGCTCTATGTCAATTGATGTAAATGCTGTAGGTTCAATGGCGGTACAAATCCAAACTTTAAAGTACCCTCCAGAAATGAATTATCGACTATTACAGGCAAATCGCGCTTGAAAAAGAACACCCTTGACTTTGCGTTGACTGATGTTACAACCTCGAAAGAAGAAAACACCAGATCGATTGTGGATCCCTAAAGCAACAATATATTGAGGGAGACTTCCCTCGAACACAGCGCAGAGCATTCTACCGGCACCGCGGAAGATCTTAATGAAGAAATACTTGATAGCAAGTCGAGTGAAACGCATAAAAGAAGTGTTATGAGCCTCAATATAGAGAAGTCAAATACAAATACACCCTCTAATTCAACAAACAGTATGTTTGAGCGAAGTAGTGATATTCTTGAGATTGGAGATCATTTGAAGGACGGTAAATTTTAGGAATTACGACTGTAAAAACGTTTCATAACGTCAATGGAACAGATCAGAGTGACCAAGTTATTTTGTCTAATATCAATTCTATTGTACAGAGGAAAAGTAGCACACTCGGAGAAACAAATCAAGAAAGTGGTGACTCATCTACTAACGATATCGCGGATCAAACATCGGTATTAAATTTTTTTAAAAGAACTTCACGTGACTTTCTTCTATCCGAGAATAAAATATCTGAAGAAAAAGTTTCTCCAGTAGTTAGGAAAACAGTGACGTCATTAAAAAAAGAGCATGAAAGCTGAATTTGCAGAAGTTATCAACGAAATGAATGACAATTTTTTAGATGACAAAAGCAAAATGGAACTTGACAGCAGGGTTTCAGAAGACACCATTATGAAGTAAGTTGCTTCATTGCAGGGAAATCGAGATGATTTTCCAGTACAACAATCATCTCTGACGTCATTTCTGGCGGGAGAGCTTATAGTGGAAGGATTCAAACCTCAACACCAGACTTTTCATCTACTAACGTGCACAAAGAGGACGACACCACTGAAAAAAATTCGCTACTGCCGGTTGAGCAGAATTTGTGAGAGCGCCCAATAATTGATCAAACCTCGAGATACCCACATTTAGACGTTTCAGTACAATGCGTGTCCCCACTTCATCTGATTGACGAAGAGGGTGTGAGAGTGAGTGTTTGTAAATTTCCTTGTCTCAACATCGGAAAATATGATGCTGAAACACAAGTTGAAGAACGCAGTTTGGCAGATAAAGAAAGTGTGATGTCTCATGCTACCGACTACTCCACCTATCAAGCCTATTTGAAAGGTAGGTACAATACATATTTTCTATCGATTTGAAATATACATAAAATAATTATTTGTAGTACAACACAAATCCTGATGAATTTTCCGTCTCGATTGCGCCATACCATCTTGATAAAACCATTGAAATACCTTGTCAATATGCTAAGCACCATCTATCTTATAATTATTCAAATACGAATAGCTCATCGTGTCAATAAATTCAGTTTTGGTAATATAATCAGTTTTTGAAGTTAGGATCAACGTTTTTATTCATTTCTTTTATTTTAATTAAAAAAATCTTCCAAAATAAGCGTGAAAATATTTTCAGACGAGATCGGTGAAGTGCGGGAAATTGGGAGAAGATATCGTAATATTTCTGTTATACTGATGATGATCAACATATTACTGTTACTAGGTGTAATTGGTGGAACGGCATACACAGGTAACATAAATGTACATACCACTTAGTACGGGTAATTTACCGCTGAATGAGCACCTTTCTGGCGGAAACGACTGTTGTAGAAATCCGTGCGGTTGCGCTTTTTTTAAATCAGTCAATTTATAAGTAATCAATCGACCCAAATGAGCTCAGGAAAAAATTGAAAATCAATGAAATAAAAGTTATATATCACAATATATCCACCTTCAATTAATTACTAGAATTTAGAAGGCATACTGTGAGTGTGATTGAAACTCGATCTTAACTTGGGTTTGCTGAATACGTATACAAATTAGATGATCTGTATCATCTACGACTCGATTAACTTTTAAACATTTAAAATATGCTCTAATGTACACTTTATTTTATTTTACAGTTTTTCAGTATTTACAATTAGAAGATATTTTTAAAGAAACACAATACTTTGTTGCAAAATGTGAAGAAAATACAAACACACTTGACAGAAAACTTGGTATTGATTGAAATGAGGAATGTGTCACGATTTCTAAAATATTGGTAGTGTTAGGCCGTAGAAACACGTCAACGATGATTTACAAATTTCTCCAGAAACTGTAAAAGCACAATATAATAAGCATTAACAAAGCCGACAATCGGACAAATTTAAAGTTTGCAATGCAATGTTGCTCTTGATGGTTTCACAATATTTTACCATAATAGTTTTAAATTTTGGGACTCGTAATCAAACAAGATTGATAACATCAAACACTAAGTCAAAGAAAGATAAATTTTATCGAATTAACTCGGAAAGAAAGCTGACAACCTGAATTAGTTCTCTAATTTTGAAATGGAAGGTTGCGATAGAAGTAACTATGACATATCAAATTAAAACAGGAGACACATGGCAAAATAGAACTCAACAACAAAATAACAATGCAGATTAAACTGCAATTTAATCCCATAGTCAAACTTTCGTTGAATGTTGTACACTTCTCTGAAAGACAGATTCTGATTGCAAGGGTTTTTATTGAACCATGGCCGCAATCCCTGGTTTCATCGTGCAAATGTTTTCGAAATTTAGTTGACGAGATAATGACGAAAATAATTAGATAACAAAAAAGAATTCTACATTTTGTCCGAAAAAATGAGATTTCATCGAATAATTGCAGAACATTTTCAACTTTCCCTGATATCTATAATGAAATTACTGACAAATATCAAATATTAGTATGTTGCTTTGTATTTTCAAACGATAGAGAGTAATTGTTCACAAAAGACGAAATTCAATAACATTTGAACTTTACTCCTCAAATTTTGAACAGTATCTTAACCGGAAAAATTTCGGCGCTCCAGAAGTATGTGTACCAAAATGGAGATAACTGATTTTGTTCGCCTACTTTACATCAAGTTGGATAGAGGGACGGCAACCTATGGGCATATTCACTTGGCTAACACAGTCAGTCCCTAAACTCGTAATACTATAGAACTAAAATGAGGAAATCCAAAAAAAATATGGCCTAACCATAACCTGGTACACATACTACTGAAGTAACAAAATTTCAATACCAAAACTGTGTCGCTAAATATTTCATTGTAGCCCATGTTACAAGGTTGTCCGAGTTTTTAAATCTATTTAGAAGTGCTCTTTTGCAGAAATGCGTCATTATACTTGTTCAGTTTTCATATTGTTTTCCATTTTTGTCAATTTTCTTTTGTGGGCTTTCGGCTGCATGTTCGTGTTCTGAAGCACAATGATACGTCGAATAATGAACATTCAGGTAAAGTAAATATATTTATTACCATCATATTACAATACATCAAACTGCAATAGATGAAGCTAGTGCTAGGGTTAAACATTGGTAAGAAGTAATTTGAAAAATAGCAAGAATAAATTGCCATGTTTAACAATGAAGCGATACTCAAATATATGCACAAGAAGGTCTAACGCAGCACCGGCCTATTCGACTTTCACTAAAGTCTCCCCAGAAATTAAAAATATTTCGAAACATAGTTTATAACTGTGAAATTGCTATATATATATATGTGAAATTTTGCCGGGTAATTTCAAAAATCATTTACGATTCCTTACTTCGGTTTATTACAAATTTTGCATACTTACTTGCATGAACCCTTTTTCTGAACCAAGCCAAAATATATTTAATAGGTGTGGGAGGAGCGTAATACAACACAGGATTTATCATGCTATTGATTGGTATGATCATTAGCCCAACAGGAAGATAAGCGTCGTTTGGTATATCTATGCCTTCATGAAAAAATAAATGATTAAAATATTATTCATAATGTTCTGGCAGATAGAATATTTGTAATATATATTACAATTGTCATTGCAATCATCAAAGTAAATTTAAGGCTATGTCTCGCTTTGAAAACTTAACCTTGACTTACATCACCTAATGTATTTTTCTATTCATACGTATAACCAAAATTTTTATATAAATGGGTAATGCTATTAAGCTATATTTCCTCACAGTACATGGCCACAATTGAGTTTTCTCGCGATATAGTTACCAGCAACTTGTAGAAATCCCATTATACAAATTGGCATCCAACACAACAAATCTGTTATGATGATCACGGTAACTTTTTTCTGCATGGATTTTGCCCTTTTCTTTAACTGTTGGTTGGTCAATGCTTTATTTTCTCGAGTTGAATTTCTGTCGGTAATATGAAAATTTTACACTTTTTTATCCGATGAACACACTTTGAAAACCCAGTAACCAATTTGTTGTTCTTACTTATATATCACAAAATATCCGACTGAAATCACAAAAAAGGCCAAGAAATTGATGATGAGAAGGATTAGTGAATAACCCCATGCCATATCCTTTATTGGATTCGGAAATAGTGTCGGGAGACAAACGGTATGAGTTGAGTAATATCCAAACTTTCGGTCAATATTGAATTTAGGATTTAGTCTTTTGAGCATAGTTTCCAATGCTGACCATGAGTCACTTAATCTGTTAAAAAACAAAAAGGTAAACATAATATTTCTAAATACTTTTATCAGTTAAAAAATTGTCTTACTTCAATGTATCATTATTTTCAGTTTGTATTGTTGAAATCCATTGATTTATTCCCCTTATTTCGTTTTTGTTGATTATTGAAAAAAATGGATTTTGACTCAACCTGAAATTGTAAACTATTTGTCATTGTCAGCAAATATTTGCATAACATCAGTTTATCGCCTTCTGTAACCCTTGGTGGACATTGATTTGGATCTCAGTAAAAACAATTTTGTGGACTGAGTAGCCTAAGTTTGAAAAACCCTTTTTTACATGGTGATATACAGAAAAGTCAGATTCTTAATGAATGCCAATTCTTGTCAAGTCTATTATAGAATAACAGTAACAACAATAAAAATTCAAACAAAGAGCTTATCATGGTGGACAAAAAGTGTACACTTTCATTAGAAACTGATGTTCCGACGGAAAGAAAAAATCTACATTAAGAAATGCCGACCCATATGGAAATGACAAACAAATAATTCTATTAATACAGTAACCAATACATAATACATATATGACAGAGAACATTTTATATTTGTTTTTACAATATTCAACAGAAAATTTTCTCATACCATACATTGTCCACAAAGTAGTCTTCAGTAACTGGCAACAACGGAATCACGGCAATTGCAATAGCAAGAGTCCATGACAATACGATAATAGGGCGGATTGTTCTGAGGCTAACTTCATTAAATGGTCTAAAATATATATTCATATAAACGCACAGCAACAATACAATCAATTTTACTCTGTCATTTACCTCAGAACAGTATATACTCTAAATCCTGTAATGATTGTGAGAGTAAAAACTGAAGACTCTGTTCCAATCATAAGCAGAGTTCCAATAGCAGAACAGGTTTTTCCACTTCTCCATTCTATATCTTCTTTGCAATACTCACCTCGCATTGTTATACTCATTATGCATATGGAAAATGTGTAAACCTGAGTTAAATCATATGTTTTAAAAATGTTCAAATATGTAACTAAAATATTCAAGTTGATCTACCCCAACGAGAAAATCAGACGCTGACAGATTACAAAGTAAGATTTTGTTGATCATAGCATTCTTTTTATCTTTCTTCGTCTTGAATAACTTGACTATAGAGAAAATAATCACGAACGCATTTCCTGTCAATGTGACGGTACCTGACAAAAAAGTATTCAATAACTGGCAAAGTTATGTTAAACGATAGATTGATATATAGGGTTCCATTATCTTTGAACCTATGTACATTTGCACCCAGGACAATTGCATATAAATACGTTTGCACCCACGCATGAACAATTACATCAATACATTTTGCACCCACATACAGATTGCACCCATGAACATTTGCTCTCGTGGACGTTCGCACCCATGAATATTTGCACTCATGAACATTTCCACCCACGTGCATTTGCACCCACATACAGTTTTGCCCAAAGAGATTTGCACCCATAAACTTTTGCACCCACGAACATTTGAACGAATGTACATTTGCAACCACGGACATTTGCACCCGGTACATTTGCACCCGCGGACATTTGCACCCAGGTACATTTGCACCCGCGTACATTTGCACGCAGATACTTTTACACACGCGCCCATTTGCACCCACGAACATTCGAACAAATGTACATTTGCACCCACGAACATTTGCACCCGATACATTTGCACCCGCGGACATTTGCACCCAGGTACTTTTGCACCCGCGTACATTTGCACCCAGGTACTTTTACACACGCGCACATTTGCACCCACGAACATTCGAAAAAATGTACATTTGCACCCACGGACATTTGCACCCGCGGACATTTGCACCCGCGTACATTTGCACCCAGGTACTTCTACACACGCGCACATTTGCACCAACGAACATTTGAACAAATGTACATTTGCACCCACGGACATTTGCTCCCGGTACATTTGCACCCGCGAACATTTCAACCCAGGTACTTTTGCACCCGCGTACATTTGCACCCAGGTACTTCTACACACGCGCACATTTGCACCAACGAACATTTGAACAAATGTACATTTGCACCCACGGACATTTTCTCCCGGTACATTTGCACCCGCGAACATTTCAACCCAGGTACTTTTGCACTCGCGTACATTTGCACCCAGGTACTTTTACACACACGCACATTTGCACCAACGAATATTTGAACAAATGTACATTTGCACCCACGGACATTTGCACCCGGTACATTTGCACACAAGTACTTTTGCACCCAGGTAGTTTTACACACGCGCACATTTGCACCCACGTACTTTTGTACCCGCGTACATTTACATCCGCTTTCAATTGCACCCACGAACATTTGCACCCACGGACATTTGAACAAATGTACACTTGCACCCACGGACATTTGCACCCGGTACATTTGCACCCGCGGACATCTACACCCAGGTACTTTTGCACCCGCGTACATTTGCACCCGGTACATTTGTACCTGCGGACATTTACACCCAGGTACTTTTGCACCCACGGACATTTGCACCCGGTACATTTGCACCCGCGGACATTTACACCCAGATACTTTTACACACGCGCACATTTGCACCCACGTTCTTTTGAACCCGTGTACATTTGCACCCACGTACTTTTTAACCCGTTTACATTTGCACCCGCGGACATTTGCACCCAGGTAGTTTTACACACACGCACATTTGCACCCACGTAATTTTGTACCCGCGTACATTTACATCCGCTTTCAATTGCACCCACGAACATTTGCACCCATGGACATTTGAACAAATGTACATTTGCACCCGCGGACATTTGCACCCGGTACATTTGCACCCGCGGACATTCACACCCCGGTACTTTTGCACCCACGGACATTTGCACCCGCGGACATTTGCACCCACGTACTTTTGAACCCGCGTACATTTGCACCCACGTACTTTTGAACCCGTGAACATTTGCACCCACGTACTTTTGAACACGCGTACATTCGCACCCACGTACTTTTGAACCCGCGGATATTTGCACCCACGTACTTTTGAACCCGCGGACATTTGCACCCACGTACTTTTGAACCCGCGTACATTTGCACCCACGTACTTTTGAACCCGCGTACATTTGCACCCACGTACTTTTGAACCCGCGTACATTTACATCCGCTTACAATTGCACCCACGAACATTTGCACCCACGGATATTCGCATCTATTGACTGTAAAAGAGGTTATATTGCCATTTGTGCCGAAATAGCTACATACTTATGTTATGAATAGTAATGAAGACGAACTCAATGCAAACCCGATTACTTTCGAATTTCATCCATTAACACAGATCGAGGAAACAACCCGCGTCTGTATAGACACCATTATGATGCAATAATACAAAGAGTAGGAAAGTGCTGTAAAGTAAACAACTTGTTACATATAAATCATAATTTCGTCGAGTCGGAGTTTCTCGCTCTCTAATTTTTCTTATCTATTCTCTTTCTTGAATCACCTCTCTCTTGTCTTGTACAATTGATTTAGCACTGACTTGATTAATTTATGTACAACCAGTTTCCTTCCCCATCGTCTGCTAACCACCGCACGTTCGACTACGTTTGCGTTATTTCATCGAAAAAAAAAATGACCGATGAAACTAGGAAAGGATTGTAACTCGCAATGACAGTGAAAACGTAGCGACCCTCATCAAGGATAAGGGCTACTTAGAACTTGTAATCCGTCTTCATTTCGAATATATATTTATAGTTGGTAATTGAAGTTTGTCTGAAACACGGTTATTCGCGATCATGACTATTGGTGCGTTTAAGATGTATGCGAGTGCAAATGTCCGTGGGTGCAAATGTTCATAGGTGCAAATGTACATATGTGCAAATGTGTTCATGCGGTGCAAATGTACGTGGGAGCAAATGTACATGTGGTGCAAACGTCCATGGGTGAAAATGTTCGTGGATGCAAATGTACATGGGTGCAGATGTCCGCGGGTGTAATCAATATACGGGTGCTAAAATCTATGGGTGGAAATGTATGGGTGCAAATGTCGGTGGGTGTAAAGTATGAAGGTGCAAATGTCCAGGCTGCAGTTTGCGGGTGCAAATGTATGAATGCAAATGTACTGACGCCGATATATAAATGCCTTCTTGAGGAAGTTTATAAATTATTTCAGACAAAACATTAAGCAAGTTGTATTCACACCTATTTATTATCTTATTCTAGACATTCATTGAAATATTTATGTATTTTCCATATTTCACAGGTCTTAACCTGATGTATGACAAAGAATGTCGACGTACAGTTCAGAATCGATTTAAATTGGAGAGTACAGTCGACAGAAAGTAAATTGATGCAAAACGTCGCAGGAATTTACAAAGTTTTCAGCTTATATTTGAAAATAGCTATTTTGCAAATGCAAATTCACAAATTGGACATGATTGGTAACTTACTTTGGCTGATTGCCCCAGATAATTCGAACTACTTTTGAACTGATTCATGTATGTGCGTAACCGCGCTTCGTTCGAGAGACATTACAAAGATTATTACGTTTTAAATAATTCTGCTACCTATATGCTTTACATTATACATACATTAAGTAATCAAGAAATAACTTGTTTGGTTTGGTTGGTACAATTAGGTTTTATATATATAATATACACTAACTTGTCACCCATACAGTGGCAAGCACTAACTTATTCCTGATCATTGAATTAGTGTCAGAAAATGCACTGACAATGCATTCAGGAAGACATTCGTCTCTACCACTTTTACAATCTTGACTCCCGTCACATATCTGTAAAAATTTATATATTTGCAAAGCAATACTATTTTAGTTGTCACGTCTCTATCAGTATGTGAAGATCAAAAAAACTTGGGCATAACGCCAAATGTATTTAACTCTATCGGGATCAAGCGATCCGACACCTATATTCCTTACTAAAATACCGTTAACGATTTTGATTTCAAATGGATTACGAATGGCATGACTTTTAAGATATTACAGAATAATCGCTTCTCAATCCAACGTTTGGCCTTTTACTAAGTTTGGGTTTATTGTCTGCTTGGTCAAATCTCATACTGCAAGAAATTGTGTCGTGTCAAAATATTTTTTCATTTACTACCAATTCGTGAAACTCTTCCTCTCTAGCTATTTATTGTTTTAATGGCCTGATACACTTTATCTGCTGGCATCGCGAACGGGAAAATGAATATATATATGTCAATTACAAGTTACTAACCATCCATCAGCGCACTAATATATATATTTATTTTATAGTTGAGAGAATATTCAGAAGGAATATTATTGTTCCTCCGCCCACAGCTTGGGAACACATATTTTCTCTAAAATTCCCGCAAAATTCCTTTTTCGAATATATCTCATTTAGATTTCAGTGCTAATCTGAGTTATGTGGAAAGCATACCACAGTTTGTATTATAATATTTAAGAGTCAAAATGCAATCAAACCTCATTTTTAGAGATGAATTTAACATCTCCTGTGTCATTGCAGTAAAAGTGAGTTGTTTCATGGCAGTTCATTTCATCGCTAGAATCTTCACAGTCCTTTAATAGCCAACATATCAAAATAAAAGCACTTCATTTTTTCAATAAATATTTTCGATAACATTATTCGGAATTGTAACTACCACATGTTATAGTTGTACGTTGTGCAATTTATTACAGCTATGTGTCAGAAGCTAGGAATATGGAAGCGATCCAACTCTATAACCTCATGTTTTTTCGTGCGAATCATAAAATAAAATCCCGTTTGAGCAATCACTAACGAAGGCACTCACTACTGATTGGTTCGCGCATAAAAAACACTGATGTACCCGATTGGTACTAACCGTTCTATTCGCGAGAGTGTAGGTTACATCACAGTGGGTCCATTTTCACTACTCCGTGTACTTGATACTTGGTAAATGTCAGTGGCGGCGCGTGGTCATTTTGACAACAGGGGCAAGCTACTGCGGGACCAAGTCACCCTCATCTACGGGGACAGGATGAGCGCTGTAAGTTCTCCCATCATTTTATGAGTATAAAAACCATTCCATCGGTAACAACCAATCGGCAAAAGCGACAATTTTTAACGATAAGAAAGCGTCTTTAAAACGGGTCCAAGTCAAGGGATTAATAAATATAGACATAGTTTATTTTGAAACCTCTTTCAAAAGGAAAGGCAATATTTACCCAGATAAATACATATTGACAGAAACTTCGGGAAAGCAGACAAAACCTAAAACAAGGTTTAAAACGTTACTATGAAGAAAGGAAAGTTAAGGACATGCGTCGCTCACTCGTAGATATATATGCTGCTAGACTTCTACTGCTTGAACATATATGCAACACGCCGCGGTTTATTGGAAGCAAAATGCTCAATAACGCGCTGATTAAAGTCATGCATCCCAGAAATAACGTCTCTGTGAATGAATAAAACAGCCAAGGAATTCAATCTATCTTGCTTCATTGTGTTTCTGAGATACGTTTTAATACTCTTCAGAGCGTGCTAAATGTTCGCTCTGCGTCGGCGGAAGAAATAGGAGTCGTCAAAATGATGTCCAGAAATTTTGCTGACGCCGCAAATGTAGTTACTAGAGTGTTATCTATGAGGAACCCATAGAGCGCGCAAGTTGATGTGATGTTCAAAGAAGTTTGATTGGTGTATATACATGGCGATTCATTTTCCAATTTACCCACGTTTATCATGGGGTTAAATTTGGAGACAGTAGCCAACAAATGGATGGAAAATTGACGTGCAAATTTTGAAAAATTTTTGGGGTTCATCAAAGAGAACGCGGCAAGGTGTTCAGTGCGCAGACGATCGCCTATTTGATTCACCAGAATGTCACAGCATTCCTTTGCAGACAAAATCAAACGCTGCGTTGTTTGCCCGCGGCGTAAAGAAGCACTCCATGTGTCGTCGTATTTTATTGTTTCCCGGATACGAGATACAGCATCGCAGAGGTCTAAAATACACTGCACAGACGATCCATCCATTAGCCTTGACTGCAATGCGCCGTATAATACATCCACGTGATAGAATATTGTGGAGAAAAAATGAAATCTCACCATCTTCTAGCAGACGCTTCGGACACGCCCTGCACCACGCGTGATTGGAAGTTCCAACGTGTTGGTGCACAAGCTGGGAGACGGTGGCTACATATCTGGAGAAGGAGGTCAGAGCGCTTCGGCGAAACGGAAAAAATGAAGAAAACCCCGAAACTTTGCAAAAAATATACGGACGAGAGGGGTATCAAGACACATATTTTTAATAACGAGGTTAAATTGGTGTGCATAACAATGTAAAAAATGCGCATGAGGAAAATCTTCTTTTATATAAACTTGAACACCATGTTTCGAGCCACTCATGACTGCCGCGCCGTCATAAGTTTGAGCTATCAATTTTGACTTCGCGTTGTAAGGCTGTAACACTTCTTTCAGTACAGCCAATATCCCGCAAGCCGTGCGATCAACGATTGGTACAAAGCTGTGAAATCTCTCGGTAGGTTTACCATCTTTCACAAACCGAAAAATCACAGCCAGTTGGGAAACGCACTTGATGTCAGTTGTCTCGTCAGACTGAATCGAAATGAACTGGCAATTCTCAATTTCCAGAGCCAAATGTTGTAAATAAATTTTATACATTGAGTCGAGCAAATCATTTTGGATATCCTTAGATGTCCCTTTCGAAACAGTTGCGGCATCAAGATGATCTCTCAATACTGTATCTAGGGATGCGGTGTATTCCACCATATCCAAAAATACCTCTCTATTAGAAGAGCCAGCCCGTTCATCGTGCCCACGGAGGGACAGCTCGTGACAACCAATGAACTTCAAAACATCTATCAATCGACCGAGAACATGGCGGTTTTTCTAGACGTTTTGATTGTGCCGACGAATAGAAACCGCGCGTCCTTCATCCAACTGTGCTGCAATATTAACATTTCCGGATGTTCGGTATTTTACTGCATTGTCCAGATGCTCCATAGAAGATTAATGATCCCTGGCACGCTCAGAAAGATGTTTAAGATCTCTAAAACCAAATTTACACCGACGTGAGTCTCGGGCGGTAGCAAAAAGTAGGCAATAAAAACAAAAAAGAGCATTTTTGTCCTCGCTGTAACACAACCATTCGTGTTTTTTATACCAAGTTTCTGCGCAGAATGTACGCCGACGCTTTCCTCCGTCATGGGATTGTTCCAGTGAACAATTTTTTGGTTGATCAGGCCCAAGACGTTGTACCTCTAATGTTTGTTCCAGCGGCAGCTGCGAAAACGGAGTGCGAAGTAGTGCATCAACCTTATTCATTATGAGGTCTAAGGCTAAGAAATGCGAAGCCGGAAAGAAGTGAGGAGCTCAAAGGAATGTGGAAAATCGAAAGCAAATGGACTAAAGGTCTCTAACTGATTCAAATAGCGAAACAAGTGACAAAAACGAAGGCGAGGAAACTATCAACTCTTCAAGCAACCAACGAACGAGAAGGAATGCGTGAATATGTCAACACGTTGTTGTAAGAAACGTCGCATTGTGTCGTCATAATTTAGGGCTAGCCCGATCGGCCCCCGATGATTTAGTAAAGAAACAGAAACAAACGAGACAAACGCGGCGAGTGGAAGATAAAAGAGAGAATACGATATACAATGAGCAACCGGGGCAAAATCGGCGTCGCCCCGTCGACGTTCGGCGAAGGCTTTGCGAGCGAAAAATGAACCATGTCGGGAGAATATGGCAAGTGTAGACAGTCTGTGCAACCGATATTGAGGTATTTTTCGAATATTTTTTATTATACCGAAAAAACAACCGGGGCATTGTCCCGGATGGCCCTATTGACACGCCGCCACTGGTAAATGTATTGCTCAGAATGAGAGATCAAACAATAGATTTTGATGTTAAGCAATTTGTATCTCTGTTTTCAACCCAAACCTAATTGTAAATTTGAAATGGTCGACAAAAAGACGTCTCGGAGCGATGCTAATTATAGATTTAAGCTGTGCGACGGACAAAACGATTTGGTGGATAAGAACTCAGATATCGACGTGATTTGTTAGCAAAAAAATTTTCCATCACAAGGTTAAAAGTGTAATTATCGTCTTTAAGACTTGATGTTAGCGTTTTTAAAGTTGCCGATATAACAAAACAAAATATTTGCAATTATCGTATTATTGACACAAACATAAATTAGTCTCACATACTTTTTGAAGGTTGCAGACTTTGTGGTCAGGTACGTTTATTGGCTTATTCCCTTCGCAATAAAATCTTTAAAAATGAAAAATTAAAAATTTGAAAACTTTTTTTATTAAAGAGAGTTTCGTGGACGAAAAAATGACAAGTTGAAATCAACCTACTTGTTCATGAAACAGTATGAGAAGTATACATCTTACCAAGGTTTTATTATTTTTAATAATATTTTTATTCATTAATAGTCATTTTATTATTATTTTTGGTATGATTTGGGGTCTTCCAATTCGAAACTTCCTTATCTATATTCAATTTGTGGTATATTAAAGTGTGCTAAGTACATCAGACCATCTCATGTAGAGAAAAAAATAAAAATACCATATTTGAAAAAAATATTATCATGTTCGGTTGATTAAACTCAAATTGCTAATTCTAAATTCATAAAATTAATGTTCAAAAATAGACTCAATTACCAGGTGTTAGTTTTACTTCATAATATAACGTGAATCAAACGCTCAATATTTTATTTTATTTCAAATTTTATTTGATGTTACTAACAAGAGAGCTATGCTCAAATATATGGACACGTGGCGCCACCCAATGGCAATATATTTGATGACGTCATAGCGGGGAAAAAAGTTAAACCCTTCTGGAGAAAGATTTTTCCTTTATCCACTGAAAATTTCAAAGCAATTGGTCCAGTATTCGAAGAGAAAAGCGATTTTTTATAAATGATGGAGACAAATAACAATAACAACAAAATTTTGAAACGATCGGTATGTCCACTAACGTGTCAATAAAACAGAACACGGGAATCGAAAAACAAAAACGTTGGCGCGAGTTACATTGAATGAGATTGGTCGTCCTCGCATGAAACGCCTACGATGCGGAAATAGTTATTAATTCTTCAATACATATTAAGTTTGTGACATACGCCAGAAAGCAATTAGAAATACCTTCGTGGACATTTGATTTCTTCTTCTCCTCCTTCGCAGTCAGTCTTATTCCGTCACACTATCTTCCAGGCTGGAATTCTCGATTTGCTTGAACATTGATAATACCCTCCAAATAAATAGTGTTTTGCAGAATTCGGGCATGTGGCAATTTTGACATTCCTCGCGGTAAACTCTCTGCATTCTATAATTCCATCGCACTTTGTTGCAATTGGTTTGAAAGGTTTTTAAATTATAGAATTTTAGTCAGTATGTTCAAATAACAAAAATGTGAGAAATATATATGACCATCAGAAGTAATGAAAGTTTGGCAGGTTGTTTGCAAAGAAAGTTCACAAACATTTCAAATTTTTCAATGGTAAATTACACAAATATTTTCAATGTTTCCTGGTAAATATCAAAAGGTGTAATTTTCTTTATCCAGAATATCTATCATTATCTACTGTTTTTATCATCACATAAACAATTTTCTTTCCGATAAATTTGCTATAATTCTCAAATTAAGAAGTGGGTTACTTTAATGATGAACTGAATTTTTTAGCAGCAAGATATAGTTCAGTTTTAACAAAAATACGTGTTTTCTTTTGGAATCGAACAGACTGTTTTAAGAAGCTAAATCCCATAAACAACAAAAAATATTGAACTAAAGTACTATTGATAGAGTTAAAATTATGGTCGTGAACTGAGCCGCTATATATTCTATGAAATTGTAAAACATACCGGTTGGTAATCCACAACGGACGTTACATTTTTCTGCTGTTCTGATCCCCACGAGTCATCTGTGTTGTAAAAATTGTAAAATATTGAAAGAGTGAGAAATCCAAATCTATTGCAAAATATCTGATTAGACTATGAGATACCAAATAAAAGAAAACAAATAAAATATTTTCAACAGTAATTTTGAGGTAAATATTACATAAAAAATATTACTAAGATCTGATAAAAATTCGCGTTACCCGGACAACTCGTCTCTGGGCAAAACTTTTCGTCAATTGCTCCCATGCAGTTTGGTCTTTGAAATAAAATTATGTTAAATTTTATTCAAAGTGAATATGCGAATAAATATTTTAGAATGGGTAAAAGGGCAATGTTAGCGTACAGACCTGGATAAAACATTGGTCCATAGTAATATGGTCGTTTTAGGTGTAGATGGCTCAAAATCAATTTCAAATAAAATAATAGGATTTATTTTGAAGCAACTTACATTTTTATTCGCAAAACTGTTTCTATTGTGTTTGCTTCCGTGGCTATTACATGAGAAGCTATATGCCTACGGTGGTCTCACCTGTTGCCCTTTATTCAAGAAGCAAAATTTTTTAAGTCTTTTCTAGGATAAATTGTTTCCCAAAAATCAAGTAATTGCAGAAATATAATCTCACTCCCCAAACAACGTCGTTTGCAAATGGTCTAAGACGCCTTTTTCGTTTGCATAAACATTCGGTTCTGAATAAATCTGGACAGGTCTATTGACTCGTCACACAGGTTTCCGTAAGGAATTATTTCCTTAGATGTGAAACAGCCGGTAATGCACTCTTCTCATGAAAGACTGCGAGTTATTATATTATTTTGTTAGTTGCTTAATTTTGAAAAATCCTTTTAATTGGTGATAATTATATACAGTATTTGCTTTGTGGGCCGTTTCTAATTTACTTATTCAGATTGAATTTAACAAATTTTGAAAATGAGGTTAGACGTTTAAATGATATTTTCGTTAAAAATTTTACACTCTTCTGAATCAATTTAAACATTTTTGATGTTCCTCATTTTAGCAAAATACTTCAAGTTTCAGAAACAGTAAGACTGTGACTTTTTATCTGACTCCAATTCAACTTTGTAATACAAAAGGAATTAATATAGGTAAAATCTACATATTATTAACGAAAATCGTTTTAACAATACGTTGCGATATGTAACAAGATAATTTATATTTTATTCTTGTATCCTTTTTTATATTTTAAAAATGAAGTAACTAAATGAAATACCAGTAATCCATTTGAGAAACACATTTTTTGTTCTACAAGACTTACTTATTAAAATATATGTATATATCTGTTCTGATTGTTTGTTTATTTTACTTTTATTACAAATGAACTTACTTCTATTTAGTATGGGTTCATTTCCATCGCAAAAGCATTCATCGACTCCTGTAATAACGAAAATAAAGGGGAAATAGAAACATATACTGAAATATTGTATCATTACAAACTTTTTAAAACGACAAAAAACAAAAAAAACTCTTGATATATTTTGAATTTTGGAAACGCTTCCTAGAATTTTGCCAAAGAATAGTTTTGCAAATATCTAAAACATCAGTTTGTGAGAAATTGAGATAATTTAAAATTATACTGCCAACAACATTTGTTGGACGAAAGATAAATACCCAACATAGAGGTTGTTGATACTTTTAAAATAATGAAATAAGTTGCTAATCACCTTAAGCTTCTACTGCCATTTTCTAAGAACTAAGTCAAGTTTAAGAAATGCTTGTATAATAGTAACATATTCCAGGTTCTAAATGCTACCATCCAATAAACATGCTCGAATTGAAAAAATATTTTAAATGATTTAATCATTCTGAATAAAACCAATGATGGTAATCGTAAAAAATGAAAAACTCTGTTAAACAAAATTCTGATACTAAAGCATGAGATTATACAACAACAGTTTCTCAGTTTTTCAAAAACAAGTTCAAATAATGAATTACCTCCCGAACAATGTGGATACGAATCACATATAAATTCCGCCGGTAGTGGACACTTTCGATTCATTCGTCGAGCGTCCATACCAGAACATAGCATATCTCCCTCTTGTCGTTTTCGATCGAAGTTAGGCTCGGAAGGATATGGGTCTTGTTACTTAAAACAAGGAAGCATGATCAAATATGTGGACTCCAGGTCGTGCGTTGTTTCCGGTACCACGCTTGGTAAAACAATTTGGAGACGATTATTCGTGGCGGAATAAAAACTGTTCCACTTCAATATAAATCAAACAGTTGAATTAGAGGTGAAATATCGTATCCCAGAGATCTCGAAAGCAATTTGAAATTGAATGAAAGTTATAGAAGAAGTGTAAATTTGATGTCGATAGGTTCATTAGTTGAGATAATACGATTTATAAAAACAACCGCAACAGAATCAACCAACCCCAACAGCAACAAGAATTTACCCAAGTGAACAATTTGTCCACTTTGAGTCGAACAAAATGATTGTAGACAATCGGATGCAATGAAGGTAGAATATGGAAGCATCATTTTACAATCGTATTTATTAGACAGTTGACCAAGATGCAAAAGTATCGACACAAGGTTTTGAATATACAACAATAAATATAAGTTTATGAGTAAAACGGTTGTTCATAGAATACTAAGTGGCAAACCCCGATTGGGATCTCATGCTTTCTTACAAATGTGAGCAATATAAGATAATTGTAGACTATTGTGAGGCACCAAATTTCTGCTCTGAATTATTATACACATACATTGCTATACTTGCGTAATACGATGAGTCTAAGACCCACATGATTGGTTGTACAAAATTATACGATATTTCCATAATTAGTAATTCACTCACGTACAAAGAGTTCCTTGAGTGCAAAATTTAATCTTTTGGCAATAAAGAAATGGATATCGGCAAAGTTTCATCACTTCGACAAAATGGATCTGAAACACAAATCAGATAACGGACTTATTTTAGCTATGGCAGTAATAACTTCACAGAGTGGCCGAGAACAATATTCACGAAAAAGCCATACTGCATATTGCATTTTTGCTTTTCATTTAAATTCAATTCATCATTTTTTTTTCGTACTCGAAATTTTGTGATTGGTTCTTCGTTTTATCTTACTGGGAGTGGAGATTAAAAATTATAATGTATATATATGAAAAGCATAAGTGGTATATTTACCACCTCTGTTTTTAAATTAGAGCTGAATTAATCTTTCTATTTTTTGCTTTATAAATAATGTCAAAAAAAGTAAAAAAAAATGCACCTAAGAGTTGTTGAATTATATATTTTCGTTTATTAAAGTTATATGAATAATGCTTGGAACAAATAGTTTAACAAAAAATTGAAAAATCCGATGATATCGCATACCAAAGTAGCATCGAATTATGTGATATCTAACATT